TGCTTTTTCCCCTTCATCCTATTTCATTTGCAAGTAAAAAATACATCTTTACTGTTTCTTAGGACATCTTAGAGATGCAGATTATATAGCATGCAGAAGCAGGATGACTTGTAGCTCCACTCCCAATATTCTTGGTTTTCTACTAGGGCCTATATTTTATAGTATTCTTCTCTAAGGATATGTTCCTTCTGATTTTTTTCTTCCAAATTTAAATTAAAATGGTAAAGAGAAGGGTTCATCTCTAACTGGTTTATTCCATCTGCTTCAGGGGAGGGTGAGTTCTAATTATTGACTCAATTCTAAGTCTCTTTCTGAGGGAGACAAATTTAATGCCATATTTTACCAGTTACAACAGGTCTTTTTTTTTTTTTTTAACATTTCTGAAACTGGGAAAGTCTGAAATGTCTTTTTGTTTTGTTTTTGTTTGACACCATCTTGTCATTATTCTTGGCCAGGTAGTGGTCGTGATACAGCAGTCATTCCTGTGTATTGTGAACTTACATGTATTCTGGTATCATTCTGTTGCAAACCCTTAATATTTCAATCAGTAAACTATTTGAGGATCTTTTGAAGAGTCTGTGTGAGTCTTGGTTCTTCTCCAGAAATCTTCATTTAGTGCCTGTGGTAAGATCAAGAACGTACCAGCATTATAACCTATAAAACAGGATTCATTGGCTTCCAAGAAAACCTTGGAGACACTGGTGGGATGCTCTTAAGAAAGCCACATCACCACAGCTTTTAATGGCCAGAGGACAGTTTTGTGTGGGAAAACACAGACATTATATAACTGGAAAAAATAGTTATTGGAAGAGTCAAACTCGAATAGGAAGAATTATTTAGCTTTTTATATAATAGTTATGCGATAACAGCTTGTTTTTAAGTATGTCCAAAAGAACCCGTTCAAAAAGCATAATAGAAATTCTAAATGATGGGGCTGGGATTGTGGCTCAGCAGTAGAACGCTCGCCTAGCATGGGCGGGACCCGGGTTCGATTCTCAGTCTCAGCACCATATAAAAATAAAGGCATTGTGTTGTGTCCATCTACAAAAAAGATATTCCCTCTCTCTCTCTCAAAAAAAAAAAAAAAAAAAAGAAAAGAAAAATTCTAAATGATGAATTGTCATAGTTTAATTACCAAGTGCTTTTATCCTTAGTGGACTAAGAAATAATAGCTAATTTAAAAAGGCATTCCAGATTTGATGATGTAGTGGATTAGAATGTTTTTTTCAGAGTGGTAAGGAAATTGTTTTTAATATCTGAAGGATATTCTCTGAACCCCAAACAGTAGTATTCTCTTTACCTCTATTTTTCCCCCCCCAAAATTTAAAATTTAGCAATAATCTACTTAGGCAATGTCCATGTGCAAGCCTGATACCTGCTTCATTTATTCTTTTTATTATCTCCAAGATTAGATAATAGATCTCAGAAATTTCTTATATGCTTATTTTTTAGTACTTTATTTCTTCTGCATTCTGTGAAAAGAATGCAAATCCATTAAAAATTAAAATAGTGTGAGAAATACAGAAATTTATAAGTGTAGAAACCCCATGTATGTAGCCATCAATATGTGAAAACTCATGTGTAATTTTTAGGGAAATTGCATACCTTTCATGCTTGTTTTCTCTCAGTCATTGATGTGTTGTGGCTACTATTCCATCTTAAGAAATATTAATTGATTAGTCAATTGATTAAAGACTGTAATTTTCCATTGTAGAACTATACTACATGATTTAAGGAAGTTCCTGTTAATGGACATTTAGGCTGATTCAATTTTTCTAGCATTATTGCTTCGATCATATTTTTATGCAGGCATATTTTTATTTTATGAAATTATATCTTTATGATAAGTTCTTAAAAGTGGGATTTGGATATTTATGTATTGAAACATTTGTTATTTACTTTTCTTAAAAAATATTTTTTAGTTGTTGATGGATCTTTATTTTTTTTTATTTATTTGTATGTGGTGCTGAGAATCGAACCCAGTGCTCATGTATGTTAGGTAAGCGCTCTCCCACTGAGTTGCAACCCCAGCCCCTGTTATTAACTTTTTTTTTTAATTTTTATTTTATTTTATTTTTTTAAAATTTTTTTATTAGTTGCTCAAAACATTACAATGATCTTGACATATCATACATTTGATTCAAATGCTGTTATTAACTTTAATATTTTTTTAAATTAATATTTTAAAAAATATTAAAGTTTAATATTTTTTTCTTTTTTTAAGATAATAATGCAGTTTTGTTGAAGTGATGATAACATATAATACTGAAATGTCTTTTAAAACAACCTGATTCGTATTTTAAAATCTGATTTCTAAAAAAATAATCTCGGCTCTATCACATATTTGAAACTTTCCATTTGGTGAGAAGTTATTCACCCAAAGAAAGAAAATAGAAAAGTTAAATTAATTAGAGCAAGGAAAAATGACCAAATTGATAGAAAGACAGAAAGACTGGAAATGGTGTAGGGGAGGCAAAAACTTGACCTTTGCCCTTTGGACCTGAGAATTAAATTGGCATAGATTAGCAGAAGAAAAGCATAAAATTTAATAAAAGTTTTATGTGGCAAAGGAAAGGCAAAACCTACATGCTTTTTGTATTAGGTGTTGAATAAAGAAAGAGACTGTTGCAGAAAAGTTGGTAAATTGGAGAGACTAAATGAAAATAAGAATTGTTTTAATAAGGTCTATTTGTACAGAATGTTCTGTTATGACTCTCTTTGAAGCATTTTTCTTTTGGTACACAGAGTAGGATTCTTTTTTTTTTAATCTTTTTTCAGGAAGAGAATGGGGAAACTTTGTAAGAATCTTCTTCTTGCATTTGTTTTTTCAAGTGCTTTTACCTCAAAGTAATCCTTATATCAAAATGGGTGTATACTTTTTAAGGATGATGATAAAGGTTAAAAAAAAAAGGGGGGGGGGTGCACTTTGGAAGCAGACTTGAATATAAAAACTCTTTGCCTCTTATTAGCTACATGACCTGGGGAAACCTTTTTTACCTGCCCAAGTTTATATATATCCTCCTTTGAAGTAGGTATAATAAAGTATCATGGTGGTATTGTTAAAATTAATTAGTAGTTATAATTACAGCTAATATTTTTTAATCCTTACTATATGTGCCAAACATTGTATTGAATACACACACACACACACACACACACACACACAGTTTTTTTAAAGTTGCCCCAAGCAACATGCTAATAAGTGGCAAAACCACAATTTGAATCCTTAGCGCTCTGACCCACTCAGTGGGATGATTTAAAGCACTAACTCTTCTGCATATAAAGCACTTAGCAGTACGCATAGCAAGTTGTAGTTACTATTTATCTTTAAAAATAGTATGTCAAGTGAATGAGAAGACAAGCCACATGTGGGGGAAAACTATTTTCAAAGCACATATCAGATAAAGGAATGTTATCCAAAATATGCAAAGACCTCAACAATAAATTGGGGCTGGGGATATGGCTCAGTGGTAAAGTGCTTGCCAGGTATGCATAAGACCCTGGATTCAAATCCCCAAGCGCCCAATACAAAAAAACCAATAAATTGGCCAGGTGTTGCATGTCTGTGATTCCAACGACTTGGAGGCTCCGGCAGGAGTATCCGTAAGTTTGAGGCTAGCTGGGCAACTTAGTGAGATCCTGTCTCAAAATAAAATTTTAAAAAGTAAGGGGGATGGGGCTGGGGATGTGGCTCAAGCGGTAGCGCGCTCGCCTGGCATGCATGTGGCCCAGGTTTGATCCTCAGCACCACATACAAACAAAGATGTTGTGTCCGCTGAAAACTAGAAAATAGATGTTGAAAATTCTCTCTCTCTCAAAAAAAAAAAATACAGGGGATGAAGCTCAGTGGTAGAGCAATTGCGTAGCATGTGCCATGTCCTCGGTTCAGTCCCCAGCACTGAAAACCCGAACAGAACGAAAGAAAGAAAGACAACAACAAAAAACCCACCAAAACTTCAACAATTAGAAAATGAGCAGATACCTCACCAAAATTTGGACAGATACCTCACCAAAGATATAAACTTGGCTAATAAAGAAAAAGGTGCTCCATATCTCATATCATTAGGGAATTGGAAGTTGAAACAATAGGATACTACTACACACCTATTTGGTGAAAATCCACACTGATAATACTAAATGATGCTGATGATTTGAAGCAACAGTAATTCACATTCGTTGCTTCAAAATGATACATCCACATTGGAAGATAGTTTGGCAATTTCTTACAAAACTAAACAAACTATAGGATCCAACACTTGCATTCTTTGGTATTTATCCAAATGAGGTAAAAACTTATGTCCACATAGTAATCTACACATGCATTTTTATAGCAACTTTATTCATATTTGCCAAAACTTGGTAACAATCAGTATATACTTTATCTGATGAATGGATAAATAAACTGGCACAGCTGAACTGGAATATAATTGAGTACTTTAAAAAAAAAAAACAAAAAAAACCCCAAAAACGATTTATCAAACCATGAAAAGACCTGGAGGAACTTTACATATTCCTAAGGGAGAGAAGCTAATATGAAAGGTCTACAGATGGTAAGGTCCTAACTATGACATTCTAGAAAAGGCAAAACTAAGGAGGCAATAAAAAGATCAGGGGTTGCCAGAAGTTGGTGAGAAGAGAGAAGGGAATAGCCAGAAGATTTTTAGGGCACACTAAACTTTTTTGTTATGTTATAATGGTGGATACATGCCATTTGTTTATTTGCTGAAAGTAATAGATAATGAGCAGCCCCAAGAGTGAACCCTAATGTAAACTATGGCTTGAATGATAATGATGTGTTAATGTCGGTTTATCAGTTGTAGCAAATTTATCACCCTGGTGCAGACTTGGTAGTGGGGAAGGTTTTGTGTGTGAGGGAGGAAGTGGGGGGTGTAAAGGAATTCTGTTTTCTGCTAAGTTTGCTGTGAACCTGAAACTGCTCTAAAATAAATTTTAAAAAGTATACATTTGAAGTGTGACACTTCTGGTACTTTCATTTTTAGGCACAGAATAAAGAGACCAATGTTTTAGCAGCTGCAAAGGTGATTGACACTAAATCTGAAGAAGAACTTGAAGATTATATGGTTGAGATTGATATATTAGCATCTTGTGATCACCCAAACATAGTCAAGCTTCTAGATGCTTTCTATTATGAAAACAATCTTTGGGTAAGTATTTCTTACTGATCTATGGAATGGCTTAAATGAGATAATTGTCCTAAAGAGAGAGTGAAACCTATTTTATGTATTACCTCTTCTATATTTTACTTATATTACTTGAATGAGAATTGATCTGTGGATGAGCGAGTCATTAATAACACAATTTCCCACAGCTTCAACAGATGTTCAGATTTAAGTTTCCAGTTATACCAGTTTCATCCTAATTATTTGACATTGGATCCAGGTAGAAAAACTTGGTTAAGAATATTGAATTTCCCAAAGTATGAAATTAGATGTCCTTATTGTAATTTAAGTATTTATTTTAAATTTGTTAAATTTTCTTTGTTTTCCTAGAAGTTGCTTATAAATTTTTATCCTAAAAATTTTTGTAAATCATGTATAAAGTATAAAATGCTTATTGTAAATGTTAAATATCTTAATATATTACCAGGCTCAATTTCAGTGCATTATATAGTGGCTAAGGTTGTAGATATAAATTTTGTTCACTTTTAAGAAAATAGGCACAGATACAAAAGTAAAATGTTAATATTCATTATGATAACTAGTCAGTTACTTGTTCTGTTCTAGCATAGTTTAATCAAGAGAGATTTTAAAATGGAGTTTTAGCTTTTTTCCTTGAAGAAAGAAGCAAAGTGTTAGGGGAGAAGAGTAAGCAACATAAAGAATTATTGATTGGAAATCTAAATTTTTTAAAAAATATTTTTTTAGCGGTAGATGGATACACAATATCTTTGTTCATTAATTTATTTTTTATGTGGTGCTGAGGATTGAACCAGTGCCTCACACATGCTAGGCAAGCATTCTACAACTGAGCTGCAGCCCCAGCACCCTCAAATGGCTTTTTACACACACACACACACACACACACACTTATTTATTTATTTGGAACTGTAAATTGTACCCAGGAGTGCGTAAACACTGAGCTACATCCTAGCCCTTGCCCCTCTCCTTTTTTTTTTAAATTTTGAGATAGAGTCTCACTAAGTTACTTAGTGCCTCACTAAGTTGCTAAGGCTGGCTTTGAACTTGTGATCCAGGGGCTGGGGTTATGGCTCAGTAGTAGAGCACTTGCATAGCACATGAACTTGTGATCCTTCTGTCTCAGCCTTGGGAGTCTCTGGGTTTACAGGCATGTGCCACCACTTCTTGCAGAAGGCTTATACTTTTGATCCTAGTCTTATCAGTTTGAAGCTTGTATAAATCACTTAACCTTTGTAAATCTGTTTACTCATCTAGAGGATGAATAATGATATACCTTCTAAATTATTTTTTACAGAATATAATGACATTGAAAATATATAATTGGCAAACACCTGAAAAAATTAAGTATTGTAGAGAGAGAAAAAAGCAGGGACTTTTGCTGTGTGTGTGTGTGTGTGTGTGTGTATACACATATACATTCTATCTATCTATCTATTCTACTTTTTTAGGCTGAAAGAAATCTGTATGTTTATTTTTATGATTTAGTCTTAATATATTTAAAAAATGAAGATAATTGATTACATAATTCCACAATAGTTATCTTAAAATGGGAGTAATAAAATCTTTCCATGATGAAAAAAGTGAACATTTAATAGAATAAAAACTCTGTACCTGGTAATTTTAGAGAATTTTAACAACAACTCACTTCCTTTCATAATGTGATTTCTTTGTGCTTTCTTAAATGTATATTACTTAAGAATTATAACTCTTTTGACAAAGAAAATCTTCATGTTTACCATAATATTGTTTATATAACCCAGATTGTTCAGTTATCTATTTCTTTATCGTTTTTGCTAAATTGAAGAAGAAATTCTGAAACTCAATGTAGTTTTAGACATGTGCTTTTTTATTTGCATGCAGATCCTCATTGAATTTTGTGCAGGTGGAGCAGTAGATGCTGTGATGCTTGGTAAATACCTTTTTATTCTTTATGTTTACCTCTTAAATTACACTTAAGAGTAAAGGATTTCAACCATTTATATATATGTATGTGTAATATAATTATTGAGTGAAATTCAGTGAATTAAAAAATCAATTTAGTTGTATTTTTAAAAAATTTTGTTTTAGTGTAGTTGAACACAATACCTTTATTGTATTTTTATGTGGTGCTGAGGATACAACCCAGCACCTTGCACGTGCTAGGCGAGTGCTTTACCACTGGGTCACAATCCTGGCCCCTAATTGTGTTTTCATATTCTTGGATAATTGTAGTTCTAAAATGAAATGTTGAATAATATATCTGGAAAGTTATTTTGTAGATATATAGTTCTTGTAAAATAAATTTACTCTATATGATCTTTGACAAGTTCACAGTGATGGTATATACCAAAAGGGATATAGCTCACTGCTATGTTTTCATTGTATAAAAATGCAGATTTTTAAAATTAAAAAAATTTGTTTTTACTTTCTGTAGAACTTGAGAGACCATTAACTGAGTCCCAAATACAAGTAGTTTGCAAGCAGACTTTAGAGGCATTGAACTACTTACATGATAATAAAATCATCCATAGAGATCTAAAAGCTGGCAACATTCTTTTTACCTTAGATGGAGATATTAAATTGGGTAAGTTATTCATTTAAATAAAACATTTGTATTTGTGTTCTGAGATATACACTGTGTGTATGTTTCTTAATATTATTTTATTGCTCAAATAGGTGACATATGAAGAATTACTCCTTACTAGTTTTTTTTAAATAGTTCCTTAGATAAATATGCATTAGCTTCCAGAGTTCCTATAGGTTTTTAATATAATTCTTTAAAAAAAAAGTAAGAAAGGTTAGTTTAAAAAAATTTTTTTTAAATTTATTTTTTAGTTGTAGATGGACACAAAACCTTTATTTATTTTTATGTGGTGCAGAGGATCGAATCCAGGGCCTTGCACGTGCTAGGTGAGCGCTCTACCGCTGAGCCACAATACCAGCCCTAAAAAAATTTTTTTTTTTTTAGTTGTAGATGGACACAAAACCATTATTTTTATTTATTTATTTTTATGTGCTACTGAGGATTAAACTCAGTGCCTCACACATGCTGGGCAAGTTCTCTACCACTGAGTTACAACCCCAGCCCATAAGTATAGTTTTTTTTTTTTTTATTTTCAAAAGGACAAACTTTTAAAAGATACGTTTTTTTCCCTTCAATTTTTGTGAATAGATTTAATACATGTTAATATTTTACATTTAGAATAAATATAGTATAGTACCACTAACTCAATTTTATCTTTATTTCCAAAACTTAAATCTAGCAGGTTTCTTTTTTTCATGTTTAGTTTTATACTCTATGTTATTAATATAGTACCCTAGATAAACTAACAAAGTAACATTAGGTTTGAAAAGGATACCTAAAGTAAGTGTAAGTACTAGTATTTTAATTTTGTTTTTTTACACTGAAGGAATAAGTAATGAACTTTGTAAGAATTAGATGTAGATTTTAGATTAGAGATTATTTCATCCATTATTCAAATGGAAGATAGAACCCATCCCATATAAGATATGAAATTGTAAAAAAAAATATATAGTGATGGAGTCTTAATTTGCACATTTTGGAAGGATTTTAAAAGGACAAAATACATGCAACTATTATAAATTTTTTTTTACCTATTTTATTTTGTCATGACATCTACATATATGCAATATTATTATTTTTTTCTTTTTTAATGTGACATAACACAGATATAGAAAACCACACAAAAAACCATCTAGCTTAGTTACTTTGTAGCTTTTTAGGCAAAAGTTTTTTGAAATTATCATCTAGGTAAAAAAAAATTAAACTTTGTTAGACATCCCAGAGGTTCTTCTACTTGTCTATCTCAGTCACTGTCCCTCCTCTCTCCACGCTTCATCCTGATTTTTATAGCAGTGACTTCCTTGCATTTCTTAATGGTTCAGTCACCCATTATTCATCTCTATAAAAATTTAAACTTGCCCATATATAAATTTTTCTTTTTAAGTCTCCTTTAATTTGCAGAATCCCCTATATCTCTTTCTTTTAAAAAATTATATATATTTCTTAGTTGTAGGTGGACACAATACCTTTATTTAATTTATTTATATGTGGTGCTGAGGATCAAACCCAGGGCCTCACACTTGCTAGTCGAGTGCTGTACCGCTGAGCCACAATCCCAGCCCCCTATATCTCTTTCTTAACATGATAGTGTGCATTCTTATGGAGTCAATAATGTCTCTATCCAGGGAACAATAATTAGTATATTTGGGGCAAAGAATATTAGATATTATAGTGGTTTGTGATTCCCTCAAAGATCCAGAATACATGAACATACATACAGTGTATGTGTGGTATTAAATTTTTATGTGGGCTGGGGAGATTAGGAAAACTTGTCTTAAAAGAGTCCTTCAGTGAAATAATAATGAAAGCAAGGTGGAAAACATTGCCCAAAGGACCTGGGCTGTTTGACCTATATCATTTCCCTCCAACTGCTTTTTGCTGATTGCATTTTAATGATGATTTCAATAATTTCCTTTTTATATTTCCTTCAAATTGGTAACTGAATCCAAAATCTTGATGAGTCTCAAGTCTGATCCTTTGGTAAAACAAACAGGTGGTTTTGCATTATTTCATCAAGAGACATGCAGTGTTTCCCTTTGTTCTTTTCTGATGTTAGCAGCTATTGGTGTTTAGATGCTTCATATCTAGATTTCTTCTTTGATTTGGGTGGCAAAATGAATTGTCAATCTTTTTTAATAAGATGATACTTTTCTTTAACTATTTGACTATTTAGAACTATAGTTCATATTAAAAGATAGGAAAATGCTTTATTCTTTTTATTTATTTAGTTTTCAAAACAATGAATTGGTTCTTTAGTGGTTATCTGAGCTCTGAGATGAAGAGATGGAGTTGATAACTGATAAAGCTACAATGTTGCTATTTTTATAATTTAAATCAGAAAACACAAAGTTTCCAATTCTTTTCTGATACAGTTACAAGGATGTTTGCAAATCATAATGCTGTCATAAAGATTCCTTTGGTAGAATTTCTGTTTTTTTACACCATAGGAAAAAATGTTGATTTAGTTGATGTTTGCTTTGAAGTGGATAAACTCTTCTATTTGGAAGTTACTATTTTTTGTTTTCAATTTTGAAGAATTTAACATCTGAAGATGTGAAGATGGTGGTATTAGTGTGTTGAGGATGTAAACTTTGGCAGTGCTTTTGAAAAGTGGTACTATATAGTCAAGATTAGAATGGTAGAGAAATTATTTCTATTTTATTTACCCTTTAATAAGAGTGTCCTTATTCACTCTTGTAATATTCCCCTTCTCTGCCCCATTGAGTACAATTAACTGTGCTTAAAAGCTATCATTAATGCTAATGTATGCTTATTTATTTTAAGCGGATTTTGGAGTATCAGCTAAAAACACAAGGACAATTCAAAGAAGGGATTCTTTTATTGGCACTCCATATTGGTAGGTATTTTTATGAATTTACAGTATTAGTCATGTCAGTAGTTATAATTCAATAATAATAACAAATAATAATTATTATATTGTCTGTATGGTTTGAAATACCAGTTCTTTTTTTTTTTTTTAATAACAGTTCTTAAATTAAACATCCTAACAACTTTCAAATTCTCTGTCTTCATAGGATGGCTCCTGAAGTAGTCATGTGTGAGACGTCGAAGGACAGACCCTATGACTATAAAGCTGATGTTTGGTCCCTGGGTATCACTTTAATAGAAATGGCTGAGATAGAACCACCTCATCATGAGTTAAATCCAATGCGAGTGCTGCTAAAAATAGCAAAATCTGAACCTCCTACATTAGCACAGCCATCACGATGGTAAATTATTCTAAAGAAAGATTTTCAGGAAGCAAAACTTAACGTTTTTTTTTTCTTCTAATTTTCCAAGGGCATTTAAGTTTGGTTATGTGGTACAAAAACTACATGAATCAGAAAATTGATTTTGGTTATATTTTCAAGACTTAATGACCATACAAAAAAAAATTAATATCAGCCAGGCATGGTGGCATATGCCTGTAATCTCAGTGTCTCTAAAGGCTGAGGCAGGAAGATCACAAGTTCAAAGCCAGCCCTAGCTACTTAACAAGACCATGAGCAACTTAGTGAGACCCTGTCTGAAAATAAAAAAGGGTTGAGAATGTGGCTCAGCTGTTAAGTGCCCTTGGTTCAATCCTTATACCAAAAAAAAAAAAAAAAAAGGAAAAAAATATGTATGTTACTTTCTTACACCACACAGGAGAAAAACCTGAGTGAGTTCTGCATGAAAAGGTATTTTCTGTGGTGTAAGAAAGTAACGTATATATGTGGTTGATATATCCTTTTGAAATTTAGTATAATAGGATAATCTTTGTGATTTTTTGGCATACTTGTAAATATATAGCTGTATCTCAGTGATCAACTATGTACCTTCTTAATATATGTCTAATATATATTTATAGAAGAATAAGTTTTATAACATTTTATACTCATTAACTGGTTTTCTTTTTTTTTTTTTTAAATTTTTATGTGGTTCTGAGGATCGAACCCAGTGCCTCACGCATGCCAGGCAAGCACGCTACTAATTGAGCCATATCCCCAGCCCCAGTTTTCTTTTTTTTAATTTTTTTTTTAGTTATAGATAGTCCTTTATTTAATTTATTTATTTATATGTGGTGCTGAGAATCGAACCTAGTGCCTCACACATGCCTGGCAAGTGCACTAGCACTGAGCCACAGCCTCAGCCCAACTAGGTTTCTTAATGGTGAATGAATAAGATTTCATACATAATTAAACTTAAGCATAGTTTATTAAGGAATTTTGTTTGATTTTAATAACAAGAAAGTAAAATAGAATGTCATTGTTAAAATTTTATTTTGAAGGTCTTCAAATTTTAAGGACTTTCTAAAGAAATGCTTGGAAAAGAATGTGGATGCCAGGTGGACTACATCTCAACTACTGCAGGTAAAATAGGGATAGTGTGATAATAGCAAATTGTATTGTTTTAACATCTCTTAAAAATAATGCAATTTCAAATTCACTTATTGTGGTTATTTTTTTTCTCACTTGAGTTTCTCTGTGGAAAGATGAAATACATGGTATAGTAGTCAACATTTGCTTTTTACCAACATGTGCTGCCATTACTAAGAGAAATTAAGCCATTTTTTCTTATAAGCCATTTCTCTTATGGGTTTTTTGTTTGTTTGTTTGTTTTGTTTTGTTTGTGGTTCTGGGGATTGAACCCAGCACATTGTGCATGCAAGGCAAGCACTCTACCAACTGAGTTCTATCTCCAGCCCTTTCTTGTGTTTTTTTGATTCAGTTTAATTACATTCTTTTCTTTTTGTTAGTTATTTCCATTATATTTCTCTAATTACTAGAAAGCAAGCTCCTTATGGACAGGGACCACGAACTAATTAATTTTTAATTTTTTTTTATTATTGTGTTCAGTAGTAAATATTGTTGGCTTTTAAAAAATGATTTTAAAGTGATCAGATAATTTAATTTTGGTTAGTGGGATCTCCTTGTAATATTTGAAATAAAAGCTTATCAAATAATTAATATTATAGATAAATAAACAGAATGACAAATCTGTTAGAATGATTTGTGTAACTCCTACATTGTACTAGTCCTTTCCTATTTATTTGAGGGTTGGGAGGAAAGCAGGAAAAAATTGCCTTGCTGTGTGCAACAAGCATATCCCTAGTATACACTTTCTAATATTATTTTACTACTTTGAAAGTTTTAGTCTGTGACAGACACTGTTAAGTGTTGAGTATACAGAGATGAATGTTTTCTTTTAAGAATATTAAAACCATCTCAGAAACAAAATAGGTGATTATAGATACTTTAGATAGAACTGTAAAGCTTTTTGTAATTTCATTGTTGAGGTTTTTTTAAACCCTGGACCTTGTGCATGCTAGGCAAGTGCTCTGTTGTTGTGCTACATCTCCAGTCCTTTTTATTTTGAGACAGGGTCTTGCTAAGTTGTTCAGGCTGGCCTTGACATTGTGATTCTCTTGTCTCAGCCTTCTGAAGCTGGGATTACAGGCATGTGCCACCATACCCAGCTTTATTGAGGATTTAATAGCTTAATAGCTATTACTTTTTTAAGAAGTGACTTGTACTGACTTGAAACTAGCTTTACATTTTAATTTAAAACTTTTAATGATAAATTTTTAAATATACAGAAACAATATGTTTCTAGGACCCATATATAACAGATCTTTTCATTTTTGATAAAAATTACTTCAAATCTTTTTTTTTTTTTTTTTTTGGTACCAGGAATTGAACCCAGGGGGACTTAACCATTGAGCCATATCCCCAGCCCCTTTTATTATTTATTTTGAGACAGTGTCTTGCTACATTGCTGAGGCTGACTTTGAACTTAGGATCCTACTGCCTCAGCCTCCTGAGCTGCTAGGATTATAGGAGAGTGCCTGGCCTACTTCAATTTGTTTTAAAAAAACCCCAAAAAATCCAGTTGTGGATTTTTTTGACCAAAAGCTCTCGCTCTCTCTCTCTCTTTTTTTTTTTTTGGTTAACCTCCTCCCCTCCTTACTTTACTAAATGTAATATTCTGCAAAGTTGTTTATGTTTTTCCTACTCATATTTTTACCCTGTTAGTATGTGTGCTTTATGTTTGAAACTTCCTTTACAGGCAGGTATTTCAGTTGTTACTGAATATGCTCTTTTTAATGCTCAACAGCATCCCTTTGTTACTGTTGATTCCAATAAACCAATCCGAGAATTGATAGCAGAAGCAAAGGCTGAAGTAACAGAAGAAGTTGAAGATGGCAAAGAGGAAGATGATGATGAGGAAACAGAAAATTCTCTGGTCAGTATTTAGAAAGGAAATTTTATTTAGTTTTTAGAGTTGTGCTTTGAGGTGGGGGATTGTACCTACATCTAAGGAATAAAACTGATGGCTGGGAGTATAAAATCTTTAATTTTAAAAGTGAAGTTAATAACGATTGCTTCTTACTACTTATTTTTCTCATATTTATTGTTGAAGAACTGTTAATTCCTTAAATTATAACTTCAATAACTTCTATTGAATATAGATATTAAACCATTGTAAACATTGTTTTGATCACCATCTTGAATCCTGTTTTAACATTAAAAATGTATAAAATCTTTTTTAGCCAATACCTGCAAGTAAGCGTGCCTCCTCTGACCTTAGTATTGCCAGTTCGGAAGAAGATAAACTTTCACAAAATGCTTGTATTTTGGAGTCCGTCTCAGAAAAAACAGAACACAATTCTTCTGGGGATAATTTTAGCAGCAAAGTTCTTAATGAAAAACTCACCACTGATGAAGCTGAAAAGGCTGTGGAGGGTATTAACGAAGATACAAATGATGCTCATTTAGAAGCTGTGTCTGAATACCATGATAGACCAACAGTAATCCAGGACAGTGAGAGAGACAAGAGACTCAAGTTGGAAAATCTGCCTGACACAGAAGATCAGGCAGCTGTGGGCATTAATTCAGTCAATGAAGGAGAAGAGAATAATGTAACAGTAACTTTAGAAACAAATAACAAACATAATTGGAAACAGGAGGGAGAAAAGGATCAGGATAAACAACAGATACTTGAAAATAAATTTATAAAATCTGAAGAAATGAAAGATTCTACTATTCAGACAGTTGATTTAGTTTCTCAAGAGACTGGAGAAAAAGAGGCAGATATTCTGGTAGTTGACAATGAAGTTGGGCTTACAAAGGAGGACACCCCAGAGAAATTGGAAAAAGATGACAGAACTCAAAATGATATGATCAATGATAGTAGCAAGGTGATAGATAGTAGCAAAGTGACAAATGAGGCAACAAATGTTGCTGAGAAGGCAGTTGAAAACAATATTGAGGTTGTTCAGACTAATGATGGGAAAGAAGTGGTTGAAGTAGCCCAGAAAGTAATAGATAAGCCCATGGAAGGTCCTGAGGTTTGTGGTACTAAGGAGGTTCCTCCTACTAAAGAAATAGTTGAGACTAAAGATGTAGATGAAAGATCTGTAGAAGTTAAAAGTGAAGAACAACTAGTCAACAGTTCAGAGAACATATTGGAGACCAATGAAGAACCAGAGACAAATGAAGTTGAGGAAGTTAGTGAGTTAAGTGGCACTGAAGAAATAGAGGTCAGAAGTGCAGTGATTGATACTGAACAAAAGGCTGTAGGAAGTGAAACTCAGGATGCTCAGGAAGCCACTGCTCAGATAGAGACAGAGAAGAAAGAAATTCCACGTGAAGTGCCAATTGAAATAGAACCTCAAGTTCCTGCAACTTCACAGCCCAGTGAACCTCAGCCTGTTTCAATACCCAGTATTAATATCAACTCTGAAGATGCAGAAAATAAAGGAGAAATAGGTGCTTTATCAAAAACTGAAACCATACTGCTACCAGAATCTGAGAATCAGAAGGAAAATGATACTGATTCAGGCACTGGTTCCACTGCTGATAATAGCAGCATTGACTTGAATTTATCCATCTCTAGCTTCCTAAGTAAAACTAAAGACAGTGGGTCAATATCTTTACAAGTAAGTACATGTGGGTCCTTGGTTGGGTTTTTTTGTTTGTTTGTTTTTGTTTTTGTCATTTTGGCAATTTTAGAGTTCATTGATGTCTTGAAAATAAAGCAGCATTAAATCAGAGTAATAATACTAACCTTCTGAGTTCTTTCTTGGTCATTAAGGCAATCAATTAAAAAGAACCAGGAAGAGAGATTTTGATTATATTCTTTTAGTCTTTTGGTAGGACCTACTTATTTTTGTACACCTAATGTAGATAATTACAGTATATGGTCGCTTAGTTTGATTTACAGTCTTTTATTGTACATATCTAGGTGCGATTTGAGGAATGATGACTAATATATGAAAGAACTGAGAAATTGAAAGAATGATCTATTTTTAAGCACATTTAGGAGGTAAACAATCCTCCACTTACCATTGGCTTATACAGGTGGGAAAACAAACAAAACTAAAACCTAGAACATTTGGAGCTTTTAGAGCATAATTCTCAAGTCTTTGGTGTGCTTAGGAATTATGAGGGGAGCTGTGTAGAAATCTAGGAAGGGTCCTGATAATCAGTATCTGTAACAAAGGATCCTGTGGGTTTCCAATAGGTTGAGCTATGAATTACCCTTTGGAAAATACTTCTTAGAGATTTTGGGTTGATAAATAAGAGGAGATTGACAAGCATAAGCAACGTAGGAAAACTGACCATAGGGACAGACCTCCACAGAACGACTGATTGTCCTACTTGTCTACTCCAAAGTGTTACTTGGCCTGGATTTTCTTCTTTCTTCAGTTTGTTTTGTTTTGCCAACTGAAATTCCACCAATCCAAAATTCATTCACTGACCTAGTAGCCTCTTTTAAAAATACAAATTCTTCTATGAGAATTATGGAGATAGTAATTGTGGATACTTTAGGAGAAACTGAAGAAATGTGAAAGTTGGAGATTAAGGGAGGCAGATTAGTTTTTTGGAGCATGCCAGTGTTCAATTTTAGAGGGAGTCTGGGGAGGCTACTGTAGTCCAGTAGTAGCTTCCCAGGGCTAGGGAGAGGAGCATGAAGATTGTGGGTCCTGGAGGATGAAAGAGTAAGAGAATTTTCAGAAAGGTGATCAAAAGGTGCCAGAGGCAAACTGTAAAATGCTAATGCATTTTGAGTTTAGTGTTTTTACTTTTGCTCTTTCTGCTATAACCTCCTTCTCCATATTGAAACCAAGTATGCTCTTTACACATTTGGGTTTATCAAAATGTGTTTGTAGGAGTTTTAGATTTCTGTTATTTCTGTACACATTTAAAAGATTTTGGGTGCCCGTTGAGCAATTAACAGAATTTTTAAAAAGGTCTTGATAAAGAGTTTTTAGGTAGTAGCTAGTAGGCAGGTCAGGTGCTTTGGGGTATAGTAGAGGCACTGTCTTTCTAGTAATTATAAAATCACACATCCAACCCTGGCCCTAGTGGAGGAGTGCTTTTGGCATTATTGCTGTTGGTTAAATAGATTTTGATTCCCTGTCCTGACAGCGTTTAAACTTACCAGAGAACCTTTTCAAAAAAAATTGCCAGCTGCCCTCAGATTTATAGATTTAGATATTTTAAGGGATAAGTCCCAGGAATTCATTTTGAAGTGTTTTGTCAGTAAAAAGGCAGAGGTATCTGAGAAATCACAAAAATGAAAAGATGAAGAAAAAGTGGTTGATATGTAAGTTATACTAATTATCCATTTATGTAAAACATTCACTTGTTCCTAATTATGTAGTGTCAGAGAAGTTATGTATGTATGTAATCAAAATGCCCAATTTTACTTTTTAAAAAAATTGAATTTATCCATAAAGGAGGTGGAGTTCGGAGGTCAAAGTTTAAGGGTTAGAGGCTAGTCTCCCTGCTTTATATTCTTATTTCACATGTATAATTGTCAGGGCTGTGCATCTGTTTTTATTTTTAACTTTTTTTAATATTTATTTTTTAGTTTTAGGTGGACACAATATCTTTATTCTATTTTTTTTTTAATATGGTGTTGAGGATCGAACCCAGCATTCCGTGCATGCCAGGCGAGTGTGCCACCGCTTGAGCCACATCCCCAGCCCTATTTTTATTTTTGAAGAAAAAAATGTTTCATTTCTTCAGTATTCCTTACATAAAACCTAACTAAAGTAAAAATCTCACTCAGGAAACAAGAAGACAAAAGAAAACATTGAAGAAAACACGCAAATTTATTGTCGATGGTGTAGAAGTGAGTGTAACAACATCGAAGATAGTTACAGACAGTGACTCCAAAACTGAGGAATTGAGGTTTCTCAGGTGAGTAGACAACATATTCTTTTTCATTTAAAAATTGGGTCTTAAAAAATGTTATTTCATAGGTGTGATTTTTTTCTGTCTTCCTCTCTGTTGTTAATTATTATTTTTTGTCACAGACGTCAGGAACTTCGAGAGTTAAGATTTCTTCAGAAAGAAGAGCAAAGAGCCCAGCAACAGCTCAATAGCAAGCTGCAGCAACAACGAGAACAAATATTCCGGCGCTTTGAGCAAGAAATGATGGTAAAGTCTTAGATTTTTGTGCCATTTTATTAATGAAATTTAATGCTTTTAATAAAACCCACCAGCAGGTTTCAGAATTTGTTCTCTGATTATTAGATGTTCTTGGTCTTGTATGTATTTTTGGCCTTCATTGCTTTGGTGTTCTGGATGCCTGTTTTAAAAAAATTATTATTATTTTTTTAAAGAATCCCAATCTTTTTACTGATGTATCGTGTGATGATTTTTTTCCCAGATAAAATCTGTCATGAAAACTTAGAATCATGAAACCAATAGATGGTTTATGAAGTTCTTAGATGTATCTACTGCCAGATAATTTTTCAGTGTTTCAATTCAACCTTTCAGTGTAGAATCCAAAATTTTAACCCTTCTAGAGCAGTTTCTTCAAAGCTGGCAGAGTGTTAGAACCTATGGGGACCCTTTTCAAACTTCACTTGTTTCACTGGCTCCCATAGTTAAGCTTCCATTTCCTTATTATTGCAGCTAAAGAAAACATTGCTGAATAGTCAAGGGTAATTGTTTTTTATTTGTATCCAGAATTGGAAAAGAAATTATTATTATTTTTTAATATTTATTTTTTTTAGTTGTAGTTAAACACAATATCTTTATTTTATTTTTTTTTAAATGTGGTGCTGAGGATGGAACCCAGGGCCTCACATGTGCTAAGCAAGTGCTCTACCGCTGAGCCACAGTCCCAACCCCAGAAAAGGAATTATTAATGTGATACAAAATTTTGATAACTTTATATTGAATGTATGGCTTAAGGTAGGTTAGAAAAAAATCATTCGAAATAGTATTCAAGTTTTAAATATAGTCCTTTTTCTGTGTTGTAATTTTAAGTGGTAAGGATTGTTTAGTGTGAAGTGTGGCATTGTTGATTACTTGTATTAGATTGTTAATACAAATTCCTAAGAAAATAATGAAGTTTTTTTTCCTCATTGAATACTGGTTATATTCTCTTTTCCAAAATGTTTTGTTTTCAAGTTTCTTTGAAAAAGAAAATGTCCTTTACAAATATTTTAACCATACCTATTATTCAAAATTGCATTATTATTCAAATATTACATGAGTCTTTTGTTGAAAGAGTAGATATATAATTCAAATTTTGTTTCAATAGAATAGAATGTTAAGAGTCATAATGAAGAAAAGTAAATCTAAAAATGACAAATGATGTTATTAAAATGACTTCAAATGAACCCTTTGATTAACAAAAACACAAATTTATTGAATGAATACTGATATTATTCTAGTTTACTTGAGTAAATTCAAAGCAACTGGGTATTCTTCTGGGTTCTCTAAAAATTTTAAAAACTGTGCTACCTCTATAGTAGAAGTAAAAATATTTAACATGTTATAAATGTTATTCATTTTTTTGAAAAAATTTGTAAACTGTTTTAGTTCATTTCATTTGTTCATCATGGCAAAAGTTATATCATATTACTAAATTTAAATACTAGTTATGTGCTCTTAGTAAACATATTCACTGTACTTACTAATGAGTTAATATGGGTGATAGAATTAAATGATCTTACATTACAGTACATTGTTTTACAGGGTAAAAAGCGACAATATGACCAGGAAATTGAGAATCTAGAAAAGCAGCAGAAACAGACTATTGAACGACTAGAACAAGAACACACAAATCGCCTACGAGATGAAGCCAAACGCATTAAAGGAGAACAAGAAAAAGAGCTATCCAAATTTCAGAATATGCTGAAGAACCGAAAGAAGGAGGTAAGTGTAACTACTGTTTTTCATTTTTAAATCTATTTTTAAAGTGTAAATTTAATGCTGTCTGAGGAATTAGGAGTAATAAATGAGAGTCAAATAGTGCTGTCTTTCTTTAGGCCTGTCTTTGCAACAGTGATGCGGGATGGTAGCAGTAAAGTTAGATGTAATCCCTATTTTACTGCCAAGAAAACTAGAGTTAAAGAGGTTTTAGTGGCCTAATCAGGTTCACAGACTGACACTAAATGTCTGGCTAAACCTTGAACTGAATGTTTAAATAAAATCTAGTCCTTGTTCTAATCTACCATTCCTCTTTTATTAATGCAACACTTAAGACCTTACTTACATAGGACTTTTTTTCGAAGAAAACTTATTTTGTTGTTATTTTCCCTGAAACAACTATAATTCATTTTATTATTTATTAATTATTTGCGTGTCATCTTTAATTCATACTTTTAGCACAGTTTTTCTTGATTAGCTTTATTGATTTTCTTAGACATTGTCCCAAACAATTGAATAACTTGAAATTTAAAAAATAATATCTAAGTTTATCAAATTGCAACGTAGTTTGAAAAGTCAAAACTGCAAAATATATGTAAAGTCATTTGACTAGAATGAGTTTTTCCATCTTTCCTGAAATCTTTCCATATTGTTGTAGAATTTATTTGTAGTATTATTTATTATAAAAGAGTGTCATCAGTTTGTAAGAAGGATTTCCATATATTGTTGTGTCTGTCTGTCCTCAAATTAAAACCACAAGACCTTTGTGTCCTAAGTAATTTTCAGAGATAATTTTATGATTAATTCTGCATCTTCAGTAGGAGGAGGAGTTAACCTTTTCATGATTTAAAAGACCCCAGGGAAATAATTATAATGAATTCTATTAGGACCAGGGGAAAAAAAAAAATCTCAACTAGTGAATGCTTTTTCTCTTTTTTTTATACTTCTTAAATACTGAGATTTATCAACTTTAATATTTAAATTATGAAGAAATTCAAACAATGCTTCTAAATCTTAAGGATGTGCTTAAAATGGGATAGAATTGAAGATTCATAAATATAGTGTGTGTATGATTTCTTTAGGTAAAGATGAATAAAATGGTTTGTAGATGAAGCTACCATTTCTAAAAATTAATTTTATTACTGTTTATTATATGTTTTATATAGAACTGCTGTATATTCCATGATGAGGGTATTTGCAATTTTTCTTGAAACCATGGGTAGTTTGATTAAGAGGCTATTCTTTGTATCAGATTAAAAATATTTTATGGGTAAATATATAACTTAATCCTAAATAAATAAGCCTTTAGTTATTGTTTTGAGGTAGAACTTTAGCTGGTGAACATATTTGAGATCATGATTGCATATTTTAAATAACTATATTATGTATTTTTCCCTTATTGCTAAACTTCTTGCATTTGGGGCGTCTCTTCCTTTTATTGGTGATTTGGTTTCATGAGGGATTACTGATGGGAAATTTTAAGTGCACTATTACATCAAAATCAGTCTCTTTCTTGGACCATCAATGGCATGTGGTGATTTGGAATCTGGTTTCTTTGGTGCTTCTACTTATAAATTTATGATTGCTTTTCATGTTAGATTACAGATCTATATTGGTAGATGGAATTCATATCTAGGATTTTGAAATGTTTTAAAGAAGGAACTCTAAAATATACTTCATTTTATAATATATTTTATATTAATAAATAGACTAATTACTATTAGTATAGTAATTATAATAGTATTACTATACTATTAATATATTAATAAGTATATTTGATATTATTAATATATGATAAACTATAATAAATCATAGTTTATTAAACTTATTTTAGAGTACTCATGTTACTGATTTTAAAGTTGACAAGCTTAATAAATTGTCAGCAAAGGAGAATGTTGTTCTAATTCCACAAAGTCATCAGTTATGTTCATTTAATCTCACCACGTATAAAAAGGTGTATTTTATTATCCATTTATTTCTCCTTTGTATACTGTAAGATTTGCTTTTTCTTTTCTTTTTTTCAGTCTCATTATGTGGATTTCATTTAGAGTTATTTCTTTGGTATTATGAAGCCAGTTATGAAAATTTGCACTTTTATAAATGGCATTAACTTTTCTTATGTCCAGTATTTCAAACAATGTCAATAGAAAACATTTGCAATTTTATGATCTTTCAAGGTCAGTTGAGCTTATCACCTTTACTTCAGCATTAGTGTTCTGAGTAATTCTTCACTGATTGTCTTTGGGTCTTTTTAAGAGAGAAAATGATATATAGGGATAATTAAGCAACTAATTAACCTTTGTATGGTACAGTGTACCTTTCTGCACTGAGATCAAGCATGTTCTATCCTTTTATTCTTTTTCACCAAACTAACACTTATGCTAATGCATGTTGAAAGAAACTTTCTAACAACTTGAATATTTGACCTATAGCTTATCTGCTCACATAAATGCTTGCTGTGGAGAAAGCATTATATCTCCACCTCCTGCATGCTTATACACTGTAGGTTATAAATGAAGTGGAGAAAGCACCCAAAGAGCTGAGAAAAGAGCTCATGAAACGCAGGAAAGAGGAGCTTGCACAAAGCCAGCATGCTCAGGTAACAGCAGCAGCTTAATGCTACTAAAAACAGAAAGCAGCATTTTCTCAGTTCAGTAAACTGTGATTGAAAGGGAAGACTTCAACTGTAATCATTAAGTCGCACTTCTCCGCATCCATAGATTCCCAGCTTCTTTTCATAGTGCTAAGTTCACACTATTGGTGACATTTAAATTGCTGATATGATCAAGTGGAATGTTTAGAAAGTTGACTTAAGATGAAAGAAACAAATATATGCAAAATCCACTGTTATCCAAATTTTAATTATGATGGAATCTTAAATTTTATGTAGTAATGCCTATGTTTGATAGCAGACTTTTAGAACAGAAAAATAGAGGGTGAGTATATAAGCATTGTGCTTAGGAAAAGATTGCCATTATTTATGGAAATAAAAGGCCATTATTTCTATAAAGCTCAAAGTTAGAAGAAAAATGGAAATTGCTAATGTTAAATGGTAGATCAAACATTTATTACTTCTAAGCTTGACCACATAAACAATTTTAAATTCAGATTTTAAATGTTAAGTATATTGTTTATCTCTTTGATTCAAAATCGAGAAATTAAATAGACAATTTTTACCTATATGGAGTTAAATAAACTTGATTCTAGGTTATGATAAGGCTTTATCTTAACATGTGGACATTATTTACAAAACTAGATATATTAGTTTTAGTTTTTTTTTCTATTTTGTAATATGGGGATTGAACCCATGCAAAGTAAGCATTTCACTCTTGAGCCACATCTCCAGCCCAATAAATTAGTATTTTTAACAGAATTTTCCACTGCATGTAGCTTTACAAAGTTCTTATACTAAGAATCTTTAAATTCATATTAAGCCTGAAGGGAAAGAGAAATAAATTCAATTTTAAGTTTGCATATGTCAGTTAAACAAAGAAGAGATATGGATTCATATTAATTGTTGCTTTGACTTATCCATTTAATATGGTTTTATGTGATTCAAAAAGTGACTCACAAATTTTTAGATTTTATAGACCCCATAAAAAGAAACAGAATCAACAAAAACTAGTGGAGGCAGTGACATGGATTTCCATTAATGTTTTTTGTGCCAAGTAAAGATATTTTAAATTTGCCATTTACTTGTTGCTATCATTTCAGAGGAGAGAATATTATAATGTTAAGAAAAATAAGGAAAATAAAATCTTAGAATTAAGATTTTAGTACCGCTAACTTACTTGAGTAGAATTAGTTTGCCCTTTTTTTTGCTTGCTATGAGGCAGTGAAAGATTTCATCTTGGCCTGGTGTAAGGATTACTAGTTTAAGGTAATGCTTAGCCATTTACTATGTGCCAAGCACTGTTCTAAATTTTAAATATTTGAATTCAATCTCAGAATAAACATTACTCCCATTTTAGAGGTAAGGTAACCAAACAGAAATGTTGAGTGACTCTCAGGATCACACATCTGATTACTGGTTGAGCCAATATTTTCATCCAGAAAAGGGGGGACTTATATGCATATTTCATATATTGAATCTCCGTACAACATACCATATTACCTCTGATTTAAGCTACTCACTCTCACTCTGTGCTTCATCTAAACTCTCATCTACTTGGTACAGTGGTTATTAGCCATTTCTTGTGACTAAAGTAAAGATGAATTCCTTGATGGCCACATACCTACTTTTGCTTAATTTGAATTTCAAACCATATAATAAATAACAATATAGCTTGCCTTATAACATAATGTAGACTATTTAAATTCTAAGTTCATTTAAATTCTAAAAGGTAATATATTAAACTGTAGAGTTGAATCTGAGAATTTAGTGTAGAATGAATTAGGTGATTCTTTGCTTTAATAAGTCTTCTTGGTGATTTTTCATTGAATTTTGTGGGCTTTTTATATTTTCCAACTAAAGCTGAAAATAATAGTAAATTCTTTCTGTAAACTTAATGAAGTGTTTAAAATCTAACAGGTTTCAAAAGTATTTATTCCTTTGACAAAGTTTCTAAAACTTGATAACTCTACAGTCTATTTTAAACTTTTTTTTTTTTAGAATTAAGAAATATTAGCTATATTCTTATGGAGCTAGAACATATTTAATCACCTAGTCCAGTGGTTTTCAGTCTGTTCTCCCAAGAGCTCTTCAAAAGTCAAGGAATGTTGGGTCTGTGGGTCCCTGATTCTATCTCAACTAAAGTAGCACCACTTTTTAAATCTGTTTATAAATAGATTTTTTTGGATGAGTTTTTGAAAAGGGAATACTAGTGGTTTAAAAAAAACAATGGCAACACACTAGAGTCTGGAAACCACTGGTCTAGTTCAAAAACTTTATTCAAGGCATGAGAAAGAGGCCCCTCTGTCAATTGAGTTGATCTAGGCTCCGAGAAATTAACATTTGTGTAATTACTCATTCCATTTATGAAAGTCATTCAGATATATTCTCATCTGGGAGGTGCATTGTATTCTGATCCACAGGGTGTTGCTCAGGTCATGATTCAGTCTTTTCAGTTGTCCTCTTGTGCAGTCTTCAACGCCCAAATGCAGGACGTAAGTCCGGCGTGCTTGTGGGAGGATGCCTTCTCCTGTTTTACCCACTCTTTCTTTGACTCACATGTGCCTTTTCATTGTTGACTTCATTTGCTAAAATCTAGAAGACTGATAGATGATAATGTCAGTATTGGCAATAATAGCCTGACATGAACTTTATTCTTCAGAGAGTTTTCACATCTGATTATCACTGCCACTATCCTAAAATGGGATGGAATGTATCTATTATACAGATGAAGAAATTGAGTCACAGAAGACTAAATGATTGGCCTAAAGTCACATAAGAAATTAATGGAAGAGCTGGAACTAGAACACTTCTAATACAGTGTTCTTTTTTTCTATCTATTCCACCACAAATTTTAATTTGAAATCTTCATCTTTTTAAAGAAGTAAAATATCTTTGCAATAGTATTTTATAAGCTTTGCACATGTGAGAAATTGAATGCTGTGATCAGATTTTTATCTTTGTGTGAAGTGACCTTTTGATTGCATATGTTTATGGAGATGTTTTAATTATGGATATGGTCAGAAAAGCCATAGTAAAAGTAGTGATTTTAGATTTAACTCTAGTTTTCATTTGTTCAAATTCTTAATAATGAATAGTGAGTTGCTATTCTTTATAGTTGTAAATTAAGTCTGGAATTTTAGGCTGTATTCTTTCTCACAGTTTCCATAGGGAAGACTAGTTCATTTAAAATTTTAATTTTTATTTGTGGTTTGATATATACAACTGGAGTAGAGAGAATACAGCTTGATTTCAACCCTTCCTTTTCCCCCCTCTCAAAATTAGACTTTCTTTTTTAAATTACTGGCAGATGTCCAAGTCTTATTATCATCTTCTAAAAGAGTAAGCAAAATATTTTTTTAACGAGGGAGAAATTATGAATTACGATCACTTTTCTGATCATTACCATTTTTGAGCAAATCTGAGTTAAAATGATCAAATAGTCCGGTATATCATATTTCTTTCTTATAGTTTTCTAGAACCCAAAGTTGTAGTTTTAATGCTTATAGTTATTTAATTAATTATAAAACTCCCTAATAGAATTTAAACGTGTACTTTTAAAGGACACTCATTTTATAATTTATGTACCCATTTTAAAAAGTGACTTTTGGTCTTAATAGTTTTGAGTTATTTTGTTGTCTTTTATTTGTTATTTCTAGTGATTTAAACATCTTTTTTTAAAAGGTAATTTGTGCAATATTTTTGAAATGTTTAATTTCTCTTAGAAGTTCTTAAGAGTAATTTCTAATTGTAAATTCCATTGTGAATGTATTGTACTTGGACTTTGATGTTAGAAAATTTAATGAATGTATTATAATGTAGAATTTCATTTTTTTGAGGTGATGATATTTCATTTATTAATTTGTGTATGAAGGACATTGTCAGATAATTTTTAGCTTTAACATAAAAAATTATTTGTGTATTATACCTGACTACATCATTGTTCAGATCCTGCTTGCTTATTCAACTCCGAGGCACCTGGGTTCTTTGCTAACTCTGATTGTTAGAAACTGCATCTGTTTATTGGATTTGTAACTGCCTACCTTAATTTTTATTTGGTGATCCTTATTTTACCTTCTGGAGCACCTGAAGGTAAAAATTCTGCCTGCTTCTATGTAACTGTCTTTACCCTTTATGTTTTAGCTGCTTTAGGGTACACTTCTGTAGTACTGTTATTCATTGTAGGGCATGGCTTCTGGACTCTTTATCTCCAGCTTTGAGTTTTCTGTGGTTTAATTTTGAACTTTTGAAAGTATGATACTAAGGGAAGGAACTGACAATCCAAGACTAGGGGTAGTTGGGACCAGTAGAGTAGAAGCTCCTTGAAGGCAAAACTGTCTTTTATTAATTTTAATAGTCTATAACTTTAGTGCAATGTCCAGCGTTTACAGAATGCTGAATGAAGGTTTTCTTTGGACCTGACCTCTTTGTGTAATCTATACATATAAATGTATTATAGTAATATGTCCCAAAATTGCATAGATAAGAAATTGCACATTTACTGACTCCATTCTATACCTTTGCATTTGACTTCAAGTCTTCATATGTATATACTAGTTAAGTTAGACCATTGATTCTATCCATAGAGGTATTTTTTCTTTTTCTTTTTTTAATTTGTTCTAATTAGTTATACATGACAGCAGAATGCATTTTGATTTATTGTACACAAATGGAGCACAACTTTTCACTTCTCTGGTTGTACACGATGTAGAGTCGCACCATATGTGCAGCCAACATGTGCCTAGGGTGATAATGTCCATCTCATTCTATCATCTTTCCTCATGCAGGCATCTTTTAAAAATCCTTTTTGCAAACCAACACTAAAAATGTTAAACAAAAGAAACCCTTTAATATATCTGCAGGTTATAAGTTTATTAAACAAGTTGCATATAGAAATTCTGTAATTGAAGTTAGAGAAACAATTTTTATTACAAATATTTATTGTAGGGGAAAAAAATCTTTTTTTTTTTTTTTTTTTTGGTACCAGAGATTAAACTCAGAGGTGCTTTACCACTGAGCCACATCCCCAGCCTGGTTTTAGTTTTTATTTTGAGACAGGGAACAGGGTCTTGATAAATTGCTTAGGGCCTCACTAAGTGGCAGAGGCCAGCTTTGAACTTGTGATCCTCCTGCTTAAGCCTCTGAGCTGCTGAGATTATAGGTATGTGCCATCATGCCTGGCTAGAAAATAAGAATCTTGAACTCTCTTTGTGGTAATTGTGTGAAAGATAAGCATGGAGATTTTGCATTTGTTTAATAAAATTAAAACTCCATATTCTAGATTTTTACCTTTGTAGCAGCATACCATTAGTTCTACCTGGTTGTATATAACCATTTTAGCCCTTTACCTTCTATGTATTAGCTGCTTCAGGGCACACTTCTTTAGTCCTATTGAATTTAAGTATTCATTGAAAAATTTTGCCTATGATAAAGTTGTATAGGTAACTGTATAGATAAGCAGATAATTGTATTTTGAAGAGGCAACCCATTAGTCTTTTTTTTCTGCTACTGTATATTTGTATTCATGCTAAAATACAAATGATGCTGAAACAGCAACACTTATGACTTAAATTACTTTGAAGAAACAGCCTGAACTGATCACTTCCAGAGACATTATTGTAAGGCAAATATTTTGAAGAACTTGCTAGACTACTATGTACACTCAGGACCAGGTTAGTAGTGATTCAGACCTTGTCAGACTGTCCAAAACCCAACAAATGGTTCCAAAATAGATTTTGGGGTTTGATCTTCTCTTATATATACAGGAGGGGGGATTATGGTAAAGTGCTGCTTCAACCCTAAATCCACAGTTAAATTGATCAGCATATCCCTTGAGTTAATCACCAGTTGCTATCATTGCCAAGCGAGGGATAGAGATCCAAATTTACTTTTTTTAAAGCATAAATTTGGCATGTCATATGTACTCAGCAAATACTTGTTGAATGAATTAGTAAACCCCAAACATGTTGGTAGAATCTTGTGATTATAAGAATTTTATTTATATATTTATATGTAACTCTCTTTTCTAATCCTAGTTTATATTTCTTTAGTCATACATTCTATTAAGTTTTGAAACTATTGTTCTTCTTTTGTAATAGGCTATAGAAAATAGAAACTGTATTTCTTTGTTGTGCAGGCTTAGTATTTTTCACTTACTCTATTTCTTAGAAAAATAAAGTTTAAAATTCTGACATTTGTTTTACTTTTCAGCTCTTTCATTGCCTTTCTTCCTAAAAGACATTTCTTATATATTTTTGTTCGTGTCATTCCATATTAGAAGGAGTTGCTCCATATTAGAGGGAATAGTCAGTTTTAGAAGCTGTAAACTTATTGTTTTCCAAAAGCTGCTAGTGTAATAGGGCATTTTAATTATGAATGTGTGTCATTCTTAATAGTGAATTTAGAATATTATGCATTCTAATTTTTTTTCAAAGTTGAATTGGATGACTAATACATGTATACTACATATGCACTATATAATTTGGGTGATTTTAAAATCTGGCTAACTTTGTAAACTTGGTTTAGAGATCTTGTTAACTGCTGGGGAAGTTAATAAGATTAACAGTGGTAGTAGAGTGCTCACCTGGGATGCTCAAGATCTTGGATTCTATTCCCAGCACCTCCGAAAGATAAAAAGAAATCTTGTTAATTACTAATATATACAGTCATATAAATAAATGGATATTTAGTTCTGTAGACACTTATTAACTGACGGTTAACTGTCTAATAGGAACAAGAATTTGTTCAGAAGCAACAACAAGAATTAGATGGCTCTTTGAAAAAGATCATCCAACAGCAGAAGGCAGAGTTGGCTAATATCGAGAGAGAGTGCCTGAATAACAAACAGCAGCTCATGAGAGGTATATGAAGTTTTACAGCAAGTGTGTATACATAAAATGGTATCTCAGAAACATTGTCGAGGTATACCTTGGAAATATTTAAATGTTTTACTTTGCTAGGGCAATAAAGGGAAAGTTAAAGAAAGCTATCTTTCTTTAGTAAATGAGAAAAAAGTCTTTTAAAATTAAGAAATACTACAAGATATAGACTTCCTTTATGAAAGTAGAAGTGACTATAAACACTTAAAACAAGGCTGGCTCAGGGCATGGTGGTACACATCTATAACCCCCAGCTGCTCCAGAACTCAGGCCAGCCTTGGCAACTTGGGGAGACCCTGTCTCAAAATTGAATTTTAAAAAAGGACTAGGTTATGTAACTGAGTGGTAAAGCACCCTCAGGTTCAATCCTCAGTGCCTCAGGATAAAAAAGAGACAGCATAAAATAATTTAGGGGCTGATGCTCAGTGTGTAAAACCTCATGCTTAGCATGTGATAGGACCTGAGTTCCATTCCTAGCACCACACACACACACACAAAAACCCAAAACAAAACAAACAAAAAAAAAATGGAAAAAATGTTTTTCTGTACAGATAATGCTACAAATATATCTCAATAATTTTGAGTATTTATTATGCCTTGTAATTGTTGGTACAGTCAGTAGTTATGTAATAGGATGGAATTTTAAGAACTTATTTTCCCTAACAAGTTACCTTAGATTTTCTTTTCTTTCTTTTTAGAGAAATTTTGGTTCTTATTCATTCATTCATTCATTTTATTTATTTATTTAAATATTTATTTTTTAGTTGTAGTTGGACACAGTACCTTTATTTTATTTGTATGTGGTGCTAAGGATTGAACCCAAGGCCCCACACATGCTAGGCAAGCTCTCTACTGCTGAGCCAAAACCCCAGCCCCAAGAATTTGTTTTTTTATAGTGGAATATTCTCAGTTTATAGGATATTAAAACAGAATTAAGAATGATAATGGATATTCACATTGATAATATTTTATTTATAGCTCATAGTATCCATTTGTGTATATAAGTTAGTATATAGATAAAACTTTTATGTAAATATTAAAATGAAGATCAAAGTATATTAGTAAAAAGAGCAAAGTGACTTTTTGAAAATTATTTTCTTCTAGCTCGAGAAGCTGCAATTTGGGAGCTTGAAGAACGGCACTTACAAGAAAAACACCAGCTGCTGAAACAGCAACTTAAAGATCAGTATTTCATGCAAAGACATCAGCTACTGAAGCGCCATGAAAAGGTTAATGAAAGGAAAATTCCTTAATTTTTTGGTTCTTTTTTAAAGTTTATGAAGCTATTTCATTTTGAAGCTTCTATTTCTTAAAGAATGCATTTCTATTTCTTTTTCTCTTATTCTGATTTATTTAATGAAGTTTGAAGTAATTATATCTTGGTCATTATTATAAATACAAGGATGATAATTAATTACAATGTCTAATGACCTCTATGTTGTAATCTACATTTTGTATCTCAGAAGTAGATATTTTGGTTCCTGTTGTGGTTCAAGTAAAAAATGTAGGTTCCCTGTACTTAGTAAAAGAATTTCAGTATAAGACTCTCTTACCACTAATTACTTTTCTTACAAGTTATTTTTTGCCCAATATCTTGCTGGTCACAGTACAATAAGGGAGATAGTAAAGGGAGATATGGGAAAAACAAGTGAAATCTTTGAACATATGTGTGGGAACTATGTATTAAATAATATTTACTTTACTGGATTCTGTTTAAAACATTTTTAGGAAACAGAACAAATGCAGCGTTACAATCAACGACTTATTGAGGAATTGAAAAACAGACAGACTCAAGAAAGAGCGAGGCTGCCCAAGATTCAGCGTAGTGAAGCCAAGACTCGAATGGCCATGTTTAAAAAGAGTTTGAGAATTAACTCAACAGCCACACCAGACCAGGACCGAGACAAAATTAAACAGGTAAATTAAGCAAATTATTCTCTTCATTTTTAGGTTTTGAAAATATGAGTGCCCTTTAGAAATGCTACATAATTGGTTGTAAACATTTAGTCCTACCTTGGAATTGTCAATATTCACTTTAAGACCTTGAGCTAGGCGCATGATATGTAGTAACTTAGTTGTTCCAGGGTGGTGACCCTAGAGGGCAAAGCCTTCCTTCCCATGCTGCACAACAGAGCTTGGGTCCTGGGAATGAGATGACATGAATAACTTTTTAAGTCAAAACATGTCTTCACTATAATACTTGCAATCACAAATCTCACACAAATTAAATGAGTTCACTAAGCAGTTAGAATCAAGATTTTTAATCAGAAGTTGTTCTATTTCTAGAATATGCCCCTACCCAGGTCATCATGTAGACTCCAATTCTGAGTCATAGCATATTATTTCTTGCATCTTTAGTTTATTGTATTCTAAGTTTTGTTAAATTTCTTAATTACACCTTTAAAATGTGTAGAAATTATATTGATTGTTAATTGTAATTTATCTTTGGTTTTTCTTTGTAGTTTGCTGCACAAGAAGAAAAGAGGCAGAAAAATGAGAGAATGGCTCAACATCAAAAACATGAAAATCAAATGCGGGATCTTCAGTTGCAGTGTGAAGCCAATGTCCGAGAATTGCACCAACTGCAGGTTATTGATTGATTGATTGATTGATTGCAGTACTGGGAATTGAACCCAGGGCTTGGCATATGCTAGGTGAATGCTTTGCCACTAAGCTACATTCCTAGCCCCCAACTGCAGTTTAGAGGCAGAAGCATGACAACAGAACTAGGCAGCTCAAGTGGATGGTTCAGAGAAAATAATAGCTAACAAAAGTAAACCACATGTTATTTCTAAAAATGCTGGGATTGAAAGGTTGTCTTTCCTGCGAAGACCCAAATGAGGATCAATTTAGTATCATAGGTATTTGTTTATATTTTATATAACATGATTAATGTGATCATGAAGCTAAATTATAGCCTAAGAAGTGGAATCTTTCAGAAACAATTTTGAGTATGATTTTTAGTATATTTTGCAAGATGATGTGAATCTTTCAAAATGATGAAGGTAATTTTTTTGTTAGATTCTGAACTTAAAATTTATTTTCCTTTTAAAATTGATTTTTTTCTATTTTTTTTTTTTGTGGGGGGGAAGGTAATTTAAATATATGGGAATTTTCTTCCTAAGATATGTAAAGGTTTCTTTATAGAGAGGGCTGTGTTTGGACCTCGCATGAAGTGTGCAGCCCTGCTAATATATAATCTAAAATGTTTAAAGTTTCATAGTAGTATCAACCTTGTGGATTACTCTACATTTGCTTATAATATACTGGAATAGAATACATCCTAATTCCACTTCCTGGTACCAGCTGGTGAAAAGGAAAAAAAGCAAAGACCCAAACTAATTCTTTCTGTTAAGTTCTTTTTAGATAGTATGTGAACCAATCTAATTTCTAAACTTATAAAAGTATGTCTACTTATTTCATAGTTTTTGGCTATTGGTTTTTAGAGGAAAATTTGTACTTCAGTAATAGGTTGATGATGAATAATTTATTATTTTGGAAGACGATGGTATTTGTGTAAAATTACTTGGTTGATCTAACATTTTTTAAATCCAAACTTTATTTTCAGAATGAAAAATGCCACCTGTTGGTTGAGCATGAGACCCAGAAACTCAAGGAGTTAGATGAAGAACATAGCCAAGAATTAAAGGAATGGAGAGAGAAATTGAGACCTAGGAAAAAGGTGACTTTAAAAGCTTTACTTAAAATGTTATGTTTTTACTCATCCATTACCCAGCTATTGGCTCTTTGCCTACTGTGTGTCAGGAACAGTGTCAGGGACAAGAGATGGAGATGAAAAGACAAAGTCCTTATCCCTAAAAGACTTCAGTGACAGGCAATTTTAAATTGGTGGGAATCATTGTCTGAAGGAGGTAAGTACAGGGTACAAGGGAAGGGAGCAGAATGCACAAGCAAAGGAAGAGGAATGCTTAAATTTTCCTGGAGACGTCAGGGAAAGCTGTAGAGAGAGGAAGTATCTTATAAGACAAGTGAGTCTTAAAGGGTGAGTAAGAGCTTGCAGGGTGGATAGGCAGATTGGAGTGGAATGGGACAGTTTAAGTAGAAAAAAGAGAATGAATAAAAATGATATATTCAGAGAATTGCAAGTAGTTCCCTATCATTAGAGGATGTGGGGGCCAGGGATTCCTGTGTGGGGGCATTAGGGAGGGAGAAAGAAAGGAAATGATGACACTGAGTCTGGACAGGTTCAGATTGACTAAGCCCTTGTAAGCTGTGTAAATTTAAAATCTAGGAAAATAGGAATGGCTTCTCTTCTTCCTCCCTCTTTTCCTCCCTCCATTTTTCTTGTTTGTACTCTATGTCCTTGGTCTCACTGGCTAACTATTTCAACTCTGTTTGGTTACCTTGCTGTGAGCCTTTCTCTTTGTTAACCTTCAAACTTGAACTTATTTTCTCATGCCCTTCCAGCTTGCTGTATGTCAGCCAGTCCTTTGTTCCATTCTTCTGATCAGTCAGTCAAGGAAATGTATATTTAGCCCCTACTATGTGCCCAAGGTTTACAGAATCAGTTAAGAGTATAGTTTTTTTTTTAATATTTATTTTTTAGAAGTAGTTGAACATAATACCTTTATTTATTTATTTTTATGTGATGCTGAGGATCGAACCCAGGGCCTTGCATGTGCCTGACGAGCACTCTACCGCTGAGCCACAATCCCAGCCCCAGAGTATAGTTTTTAAGTTTTATTTATTTTTAAGTTTTTTGAAAAAGTAATAACATTCAACTGGTTCAGAGCTCTAAGGGGATAGAAGAGCAAACAGTAATAAATACTTTGTCTCCAGTTTCACTTTTAATTCCTTACAGTCTGGCTTCTGCCTCATAGGCCTTGTTGACAGGGTCACGAGTGAGTTGCTAATTAAATTCCCTGACTGTATTTGTTGTCATCAAAAATGTTATTTTAAAAAATTTTCTTCTCACCCTGCCTTTGTGACAATTCTGTCCATTTTTTGCTTTTCTTTGTTACCTTTTATTTGTCTTCTAATCTCCTAAAACATAGATGTGTCTGAGTTTTACCATTTCTGTTCTTTCCCTGGATGATATTGTATGTCATGGTCTTAGCTGTTGCATATTTAAGGACAGTTACAAAACTAAAATAGTAGAGTTGGGCAGGATGAACTCTTAAAATCATACAGGTACGTGTTCAAATCTCAGTGCTGACACTGAAAAATTTTATCATTTAAAATTTCTAGGTCCAGTTTTCCTTATGTGAAAAATAAGGGTGATACTATCTACCTAATTAGGGTTATTAAGAAAGCTAAAAGAAGTAATATGTTGTTGTTCATTGGTTTTATAATCAGTTTGAGCATCATGCTGCCATTTTCTATCTGGATATTTTGTTTCTCCTCACTTTATTCAGGCCTCTGTTCAAGTATCATCAGTGAGTCCTATTTTTGATCACTTCTTTATTTTTCTTTATAACATTCATCTTTAAATTTGTCTGTTGTGTTTTCTAGGAGAATATAAGCTCCTTAAAAGCTGTGACATCATCTCTTCATTCACTAATACATACTGAGCTACTAGAATAGAGTAGTTCCTGGCATGTTGTAAATGATCAGTACATACCTTGCAAAATGGGCTAAAGAATGTAGTCAGCAGACAAGTAGTCAGCAGATATCAAACCAAACTTTGCATCCTTTTTCCTCTTTCACATGTCTTACCTTTCCCTCCTCCCTTCAACTCCAGCCATTCTTCCTACATTCCCTACATTCCTTCCTCTTGACATTCAAGCTAGAAACCTAAACTAATTTCATTTCTGTAATACTCCACATTCAATCAGATGCCCGTTAATTTTGACTGTTTTTATAATATTTCTCCTTCTCTTTCCCACTGCTTATGGAAATTGTTTAGTAGTATCCTCATGGGCCCTCTGCCCTCTAGTTCACTTTCCTTTCTTCCTACTAGCATGCAGTCATCAGAGTGTGTATCCTCAAGAACAACTCCAAAACTGTCATAGTGGTGCTGATTAATCATTAGTTCCATCATAGTATAATATAAATGCCTCATTTTTACTTTGAAGCCTTCATAGTGTCACACTTGGACCTTTCTAGTTTTTGTCCCATTAGCCATTTTGTTCCCCATACATGCTCCAGCATGGGTAGAATCACCATTCCTCACACCAGTGCCATAGTTTCCTGACTTTGTGCCATTGTTTTAGCTTCACCTGTTTGGCATGCCTTCCTGGTCCTGCCTATCAGCTTCTAACCATTCCTTTGTGACTAAGCTCGTGTTTTACCTCTTCTGAGAAACCTCCTTGAATCCTTTCATATTTTTCCTGTACTTTTTTTGGCCTGAACACAGCACTTTTCTCTAAATCACTTGTTGGTAGTCACTGATACCTGTCTTAGTCCATCAGGTCACTATAACAAAATATCACAAAACTGGGAAGTCCAAGGTCAGGGTGCCAGCAGAGTCAGGTTTTGGTGAGGGACCTCTTCTGGGTTGCAGAGTGCTGCTTCTCATTGTATCCTCTAAACTCTCTTCAGCCCCTTGTAAGCTCCACCCTTATGACATAGTTACCTCCCAAAGTCCTAAACTCCTAATAAACATCACATGTGGGATTAAGTTACAATGAATTCAGACATTATCAAACACTTATTGTTTATGCTTTATTATGGGGATGTAAAGATAAGTCTGATTTAGATATTACCTTTAAACAGTTTATAATCCAGTGGGAAAGGAAAACATTCACATCAATACCACAAAAAGTAGGGAGTGGTAAGTGCATATGAGAGAGACAGATAATAATTAATAATAGGTGTCATCTATTAGAGTGCTCAGTACGTGTTAAGTACATCATTATCACATTTAATCTTCATATACAGTAGGGTAGGTGGTATTGTATAGCAAAGGAATTAAATGATTCAGTAATTTTGAGAAGTTAAGCCATTAATCCAAGTTTCCATTCATGTGACTGAGTCTTAAACATGGGGCTGTGCTGAGCTTATGATTTTATGATTATTAAACAGTCATGTTTTCCTTAGTATGCAGAGAAAGTGTTTTGGAAAAGCAGTTTTATCTTGGCTGTCAGAGTAAATTCTATATACAATATGGTACACCAACACATAATTTCTTTATTCCTTCCTTTTTAAGACACTGGAAGAAGAGTTTGCCAGGAAACTGCAGGAACAGGAAGTATTCTTTAAAATGACTGGGGAGTCGGAATGCCTTAACCCATCAACACAGAGCCGGATTTCCAAGTTCTATCCTATTCCTAGCTTGCATTCCACTGGATCATAACAATGGGAAGCATTCTGTGGTTGGGTTTAGCTTTTTATATATGTCATTTTTTTTCTTTTTCATCTTCTGTCACATTCTGTATATCAAATATAGCTCATGAAGACAATCACCTGCCTCACCTCCTAGGTGGTTTATGTTGTTGTTGTTTGTTTGCTTTTTTAAAGCAAAGATGAAGGGAAAACGAACTAAGACAGATGCTAGGCCACGTTGGCAAAGTAGCATCTTGCAGTAATTCCCTAAGGTGATTTTGTATATCCCTTAAATATTGTATTCTTTAGACACTGTTACTGAAAAACTGTTAAGAGAAATAATGTTTAAAGTTATTAAAAAGAAAAAACCTGTTACATCACTAAGTATTAATAAATATCTTTTTACCTGACCTAACTTCTCAGTGACGCCTGTATTCTAGAGTTGGAACTCTACTATAGAGAGTTAGAATAATTTTCTTTTGGTGAATCAGCTCTCATGAAAAAGCTACAAGTTGATCAAAATATGCTGTTGACTTAGTAAATAAATACATTTTATCATCAAACATGAACAAACTTAAAAAAATTTCTTCCAATAAAATTTGCCTATTTAGGTGGGAACTATTAATCAAGGTGCTAGTTTTATTAAAATAGTGCCTAAAACACTAAATTTCAATCACCTAAAAAATCTTTTTGATCAACAGGGACAAGACACCCTTAGCATTGAACATTATCATTTAAAAATCTTGCTCATATTACCATTTAATAGAAAATTTTATCTTGAAATATATGTGGTACAAAGTATAGAAAGATTAAAAAACGTGGCTGTTAAATGTGCAAATTGGAAATATAAAACTGCATTGAAATACAGATTTAATTGTCGTAGTTTATTTCCAAAAATAAAACATGAGCTGGTTAATGCTTTACATCTTAGCAAATTCTGTTCATTTAAAACTCTGAGAGGCCTGTAGGCTCTGGGTTGTATTTATAAATATATTTTCTGAAATTAATTTTAAAAGTATTTGTTCAAAGTAATTTTTAAAAAAGGATTTGTGTTAAATATTTAGGCACACATCAGAAATTACTTTTTGTTGTTTTGAAATGAGGTTACTTACATTTTGGTTTTATTTTGTTCCATGTTTAAATTATTTACTTTGAGTGGGGAAAGCCCCTCTATCATGTGGTTGCTGATATGTGTAGTTATTGATGAAATGTACAGTCTTGGTCCCTTTTGAGGCCTAGAATTTCTACCATGTGTCAGGTCAAACAGTATTATGAATTGTCCTCTGGTGTGTGAGACAGCACATTTATAAATGATGCTCTCTGCCTGCCATTTGCAACCTATTCTGTTTTAAGAGTGCTAGGTACCAAATTGTAAACATTTCACTTTTTAGTTAGATACTTTTGAGGCTGGTGAAACATTTAAATGTAACATTTGGGAACACTGATTCATATTAAGAAAATGTAAAATGTCTGTAGCACTTTCTTGCAGTTTATTTGAAAACTTTGGATGCTGAACTTTATTTTGTCAGTGGTTTAGGTGATTTAAAAATGCATGTGGAATTTTAATTTTGTAACTGTTTTGAAAGACATAATTTACTTGGACAAAACTATAGGTAGCCTTAACTTCTGGCCAAGTTTGTTTTTTTATATAAATATAAATATATGTATACACACACGTATATATTATGTATGGTTGTAAATTCATACGCTTATCATATGAATATGTTACTGTATACAAAACTTTTAATGCTTTATTCTCATGTTGGGTTGGAAACTTTTGAAAGCCTTTAAAAATATATATCTTTATAAAGTAATATTCAGGGTGATGATGGAAATTGTTTATATTGTTATGATAAAAATAATGGTATAATATTGCGCAGTGTATTTAATGACTTTTGTGAAATGAGAGATGGGAGAAAAGCTCTCTCACTTTCACCTTTGAAATTTTCAGTTAATTGGCTTTTTACAAAGAAATACTTCAGGCAATGGACATTTTTTCAGTATTTTTTTTTTTTATCATTTTTTCAGTATCAAATAATTTAAGGTATCATTTTATCTGAATATTTGAGTCTTTCTATTCCTTTCCCCCTGAATTTCAGAGTATTGAATCCAGAGAGAGGCTCAGAGTGGAGCTGGGTAGTTCATGTGCAGCCCTTTATCTCCCTTAAACCTGCCCTTTGTACTCATACTGAGTTCTCTTTCATACATAACCATCTTTGTGTGGGTTCAGGACTATACAGTGATATGTATGTAGAGAAGAAACATTCATTTTAATACTTCAGGTTATAGAAATCTTTACAAAGTGTTTTGTTATAGAACATGATATTTGTACGCATACCTGCCCACTTTTTGTTAAGGCCTTAAATAGATAATAGTGATCTTTCTTTCTTGCATGAAGGGTAGAGGAGTGGGTCAGGGGCACAGACTTTTTTGAAATCAGAGTGCAGTCAAATCCATCCCTGCCTTGTTTTATTGCTGAGGTCAAATGTGCTATGAAATACATAAAAATAATTCTCCATATGTGCACCCTGAACAGTCGCCTCCTCCCCTTGTCTCTGCGTACTGTGGAAACACCACACCTCCACACTTCTGCAGGCCCAGCTCCTGTAGTGTGGAGCATTGGGCTGCTTTTCCTAGTCCTGTCAGTCCATAGGTTATGGATTGCTGAATTAGCTGCTATTCTAGTTGGAGTCACATTAAGCTTTTTCTTACCCTTTCTATGGGGAAGCTCTAGGGTGGGTAAGAAGGACATTTAGAGTACTTTTGAAAATATTGGAACCTTCCTATGACAGGATATAGCAAATTGTAATTAAACATAAACCAGAACCAGAGCTACCTCTAAGTAGTGTTTCCTTAAGCACAAAGCTCTCAGGCATATGAGACCCTCTTTAATTGAGGGGCTCTGATTTCTTGAGCATCAGCAAGTTTCAGAAGTGACTGTTTTTTGTATTCTTCCAGTTATTTTGTACCTATACACTTTTTCTCATTCCATACTGTTCACATGACAAAGACTCTTTTAAGAAGCCAAATTCGGTCAAATTATTAGCTAGGGATATTGGTGACTAATGCAAAACCTAGAATCCAGGGTAAAGAAGAGAGTTCCAGTTGTCTTCTGATTAAGTAAATCAATTCTTTTCTGGGAAATGATCTTTTGTAGGAAATGGGATGATATTTTAAGTGCTTTTTTTACATTGAAGGCGCAACAGTTAATGCCTCTATTGTTGCTGTACTATGGCTGACATGGTTTTGATAACGCTTTAGAATTTCTGCTGCAAGGCTTGGAATAGAGTGTTTTATCAATTTTAAATGTTGGCTGCGGCTTTCTGTGATCTTTTGCAGTGTAATAAGCTCATAAGCTGAATTTCCAGAAAGAAGTTTTAGATTATGCCTCCTATCTATTTGGGATCAACATGTCTTTTCAATCATGGGATTGACAAATGAAAAATAAAGTTATTTCTTAATCTATTTTGGGAAGCAGTTTGTTTAGTTTTGTTTTGTTTTTTTTCTTTGAGGTTCTTTGAAACTAGTTGTCCTGTGTGAGAACATGTTGTAGCTTTTCTTTCTTTGGTCCTAGTCATATTTTCAAGTTTGCCATCTCTGGGTCTTTTGACCTTCCAGATTTATTAGAGCTCCTGGCAATCTGTGATATACACACACAACACACATACACATACAAACACACACATTAACAAATGTAAGTTTTACTGGTAACTTGCTGGTAGGTGTCTTTAGCATGCAAACCCCTCATTTGGGAGGTGCTTAAAATATTCCCATCAACATGTATATACACATATTTTTACTTGCCTTTTTTCTGCCTTAGGATCAATTATTTTTCTGAGCATTACAAATCATATGACCTCAATTCTGCTAAAATAACCTCTTTCTGTCATTCGTAACTGATACAAGATTATACACTGATACATTGTCATACAAGATTCAGTAGACACTAGGCAGCGTAATTTGGCAAGTCTTCAGCTTAGCTGCAGGAAGGCATAGCTTGTCATTTTCTAATCTAGGAGTACTGTTGCACTATTGAGCTCAATCTTGACTTTTAAAAAAAAAAAAAAAGACAAAAGAGGCTCAGCTCTGTTGCTGTCCAATGGTGGTTGTTTCTCATGTCTGCCCATCTTTCTTCTGGGTTTTGTCTAGAGAAAGTACCAAGGTTGGACTTGGGCATAGAATTCTATGAAGACTTTTTGATACCTTAGTAAAGTAAGTCTACTAATAATATAAAAAGTCCTAAGTCTGATAAGTCAAGAATCTCTATTAATATATATTAATACTTGGAGGCTATATTTCAGTCATTTAGAAGAGCAGAGGTTAAGTAGATTTAATTTAACCCCATGTTTAATTATCCAGTAGTCAGAACTCAGAGCTTGTAACAAATTCACAAGTTGGCCAAGTACAGTCTCTATGGAATTTGAATATCTGATTTTAGGTGCATTTTCTTGGAGTATTTGATATTTGCATATCTTCCCTTAATCGGTGTTTTGATATTCTATTTCTGGCTTGGAATCATAATTCCTTTGCACCAGGATAAATCACTACATTAATTGCAAATACTGTTGCTCTTTGGTGCATATGTGTCTATTTCAAGTAATCCATGTTTAAGGAAAACTTTCAGGTACTTTATAATATGCCCAGATTGAGTTAATAGTTGCAGATGAAGTTCTGTCTTTAAAGGAGCTTAATAATTTAATAAAATGTTAGCTCTGTCCCAAAGTACAATTAATTTTGTTTTCTTGTGTTTATAATAAGCTGTGAGACCCAATTAACCCAGAATATTTTATTTTTTAAAAAATTGTTTGCTTAGATGGGTCATATTAGACATGATATTAAAAAAAGAAAAAAAAACTTTAATTGGAAATTTTACATTGAAATGCCTTTTCATCTTATAGACCACATACAAATGTTTTTAGACCGTGAAAAGTGCTTAAAAACTGACTGCACCAAGCCCCCATCCCATTTCCTAAGAGCAGAACAGAGGGTGACATTTGTGAGCGGAAGCCATCCTCCAGCTTCAGGTATTCTATTTCCGCCCTCATCTTCTTGCCCCTCCTTGCCCATTGTCCCTCTTGTCCTATTTGCTGCGGTCTAGTTGAGTATAACATATCTATACATCCTAGCAGGGGGCTGTGGATGCAGATCATAGCTATAATCATACTTCCTAAGCAAGTGGGGATCTGATCTGCATATATATGCACATATAACTATTAGAAACCTTGTGATCTCCCACAGGGGAAGAAGATTTTTTAATTTTTTCAATTGCAAGTCTCTTCTTAGCTAACTCTCCATGACTTGAGAATGTAGTAAACAGGAGGAAGGAGCTGATAGCACAACTTTGCAACAATAATCAAGATACCCCCATCAAGTGTTGCCTCCATGAGGCACCCCATCCCTATCTTTAATTTTGGGGCTCATTTTTTAGGCAAAGCTCCAAGACTTGCAAGCCAATGCTTATGTAACTGACTTTCCTAGGTAGGAGCTTGAACTAAATGTTAAAGAAGCCAAGGAGCTTGGATCTAGACAGCAGGGAAGTAAGTCTCATGCTAAAATGTTGCAGCTATTCTTAAGGTCCATCCAGTGAAGTTGTTTCAGGTTGTGTATCTTTGCCTGAATTTTTTTTCTTTTCAGACTAAAACAAGGGTTCCTAGGTGACTGTGTCCAGGGGGCTGCTCTGCCAAGTCCAGTTCATGGTTTGATGGCAATACTTCTCTTCCTCCGCCCAACGTAGACTTGGTCACCTGTAAGTTAGGAGGTGAGGAAGAAGTTAAAAATTATCTGTGGTTTATGGGGACCTTAACTTGGGCAATATGGTGACTGTGACTTCCACAATGATGGTTAAAAGAAGAACTCTTGTGATACTTTGAATTCATTTATATCATTTATGCTATATCATTACTAGCTTGGCTCTCCTTTTCCTCCCTGCAAATATAACTCCCCTTCCTGTCTCCCCAGCTGTAATGCGATTATTATTGCCAATTGTGTGCTTGATGGTGCTGCCTTGGCATTTTCGTGAATGTCTCAAGCTTGCTCTGTTGAGCACCAACCTCCAGAAACTCAGAACATCAGCACCAGTATTTACCTTTGTCTCCTTTTTCTCCCTTGTGCCCTTGAGGGCCAGGTGGCCCAGGAAGGCCTCGTGATCCAGGAGGGCCTCTGTCACCTAAAAGGGTAGAAGGGAGCATGGCATTAATAAAGAGTGTGGAGGGCTGGGGGTCAAGGTGTACCCATTGTGGGGGCTGCTTCTCAGCAAGAGGTTGTCATTACACAGCCTCTGGTGGCTGTTTTCCTGCCACCACTTACCTTTGGGTCCTGGGATGCCCATTTCTCCCTTCTGTCCAGGGGGTCCTGGAATGGCTCCATAAGCTGTATGGGGGAGGGGGAATACTGGCCTTAGGCTAGAGATTGCCTGAAGCTGGGGAGGTCAGGTGATTTATTCAAAGTAATACAAATTGGTAGCAAAGGAGTCTGCATTTGGAAGAGGAAGCAAAGTTTAAAAATTATCCGATTTTCAGCATCTCAAGGTTTTCATGAGTTGGTGTCTATGGAGCAGACCCCATGTGAGACACTGCCATGGGGTGGGTGCCAGGAAGGCAATGAGGATGGCCTTACTTCGGAAGAAGTCCATGAGGTCTTCAGTTACGTTGCTGTAGGCAGAGAAGACCTTGCTGATGCCAGGGGGACCCTGGGGCCCAGGCTGCCCTGGTGGGCCCTGGACAGTGTAGGCCATTCCCTGTAGCAGGCCCTGACCTGGAAAACACCAGAGCATGGCGCGGGAGGTTGGGATCACTCACCACGGTCTTCAGCAGGAGCACATTGCTCACAGATAAGTCCCAAAGCAGTTAAGCTAAATGAAGCTATCCCAAGGGACAAACCCTGTAGACTTCCACTGTACCCTCCTGTGTGACTGGCACAGGTCTCTGCCTGTACGGGCATTCCCAAAGGACTTTGGACTATATCTGTGCTGATCAACTACAAGGAAAAAGGGCCTCTTAGCCATCCACCTCCACTCAGCCCCACCAGAAAGTCATCATGGTCCTTAGAGACCCAGGACAGGTTAGGTGTTGGGAAAGCAAAGTACTGAGAGCCCAGTGTGCTCTGCTTCCCATGGCTTAGGTTCTATTTCTGGGGCCCCCGTGCACCGAGCTGGCTGAAAATTAGGAATGGGGCCTCCTGTCTTCTGTCCCTGCCCATCTGATTCCAGAATTACCGTCTTCACAGCCTGAATGCTTAAAAACAAGAGAGCTGGTCTCTGGGGCCTAGATGCTAAGATGCTCACAAGCTCCCCCTGCACCAAGGCCCATGTCCCTACTTACGTTGCAAGCTCTCTGACACCCTCACAGCCAGCTCATTGTAATCCAGGTCTCCAGCGAAGCCAGCTGGGAACGATTCGCCATTGCCAACATACACGCCGCCTTCTGATGCTGCCCCATAGCCTCCACCTCTGCTGATGTCAGTGCCATAGGGACCCCCATCTCCTGTGCCAAAGGCTCCACCTTCACCCAGGGAGCCTCCATTGGTTCCTCCAACACCTGAAGAACTGTAGGACGTGCCCCGACTGGAGGAAGAGCTGTGACCCCAACTGTAGGAGTTATCCCGTGACACCAAACGGCTGTCTCCTGGTGGTCCCTGTGGCCCAGGAGGGCCTGGGGGCCCAACGATGAAGCTGCGCACATCAGGACCTGCGGGGTAGGAAGCTGCCTGAGCAGGAGCTCAACTCCTTATGGGCTGAAAGAGTTGGGAGCTAGATATTCTCTCTTGGGGTATGAATACCCTTTAGTGACCTGAAGGGAACTTCAAGGTCCTTGCACACCAGTGGGAGGACGCTGGAAGGAAAGAAAGTGGGTTTTCCCTGCCTGGGGGCTCCCTGGTGTCTGCCTCCTAGGCTCCTTCAACCACCTGCCACTCCACTTACAGGGAAAAGCAAGGTCTGGGGAAGGGCTGTGGGGGCACACCCAAGTCAGGACACATACTTGTGAGGTAGCTAATCAGCTCACTCCGGAAGTTGTCACTGTTTTCAGCTGCATAGTTTACCAGAGCTCCTGAGACACCTGGGGGCCCTCGAGGACCTGGGGGCCCAGGAGGGCCTGGAGGGCCTGTGGTGAATGACAAGCCTGCACCTGAGGGGGAAGAAAGGAAGAGAAAGGTCATAGTCCTGTATGGAGAAAGCTGATTCTCAGCCTGGCCTCTCAACCTGCTGTGGACTCCCTCTGAAATGTGGGAAGGTGAGGCTGGGCCTCCTGGATGCGGGGAAGAGGGAACAACAGGAGGCGTAGGGCAGCCCCTGTCCTGGCACCATCCAGGAATGGCTGCTCCTGCCTGGCCCTTCCACCTGTAATTCTGAGCCTCCTTCTTCAACCCAGATTGTGCCCCTCTTCCCAGCCCCTCACTACTGAGCATTGGAGCACCCAGGCCGGCTCATGAATTGGGAACTCTGTCCCTCCTGACTTCCTCTACTTCTCCCCTTGACAAGGCTCAGGGGCCCTCACAATAAGAGACCAACGACCCCAGGGCCCTTGGTGATAGTGAATTGATTCAGTTGTCCATGGCTGCCTTTGCTAAGACCCATGGGTACCCTAAGGCCAGGCTGCAGTCCTCTGCCCTCTTCCTCCCTGCTCCCAGTACCCTACTGTGCAAGTAAGAAGAGAGGTCCTCCATGCTGATGCTGGACCATGCATTGCCTGGGATCCCTGGTGGCCCTGGAGGACCTGGGGGTCCAATGATGCCTCTATATTCAGACCCTGAGACACAGAGTGAAGCAATCAGTCACAGCTGGGACCAAGGGCTGTGCCTCCATCCCAAACCACATGGACAGATGCCCCTACTTGGCCTTACCTCGGAGCAAGGAGAGGAGCTCCTCATAGGAAGTTCCTGGGAGGCCAGGGGGACCTGGGGGGCCCGGAAGCCCAATGCCGATCCCAGAACCTGGGGAACAAAGTCCCAAGTTGTGATGGGCTCAGATCAATCAAAGGAAGGCAAATGCAAATGCCCTGTCGGAGAGGAGTTCAGACACACAGAGATCTGGACAGATGTGGAGTCCAAGAAGGGAAGGAAGAGGTGGCAGAAAGAGAGGCAGAGAGGACTGATGTGGAAACACTCCTGTGCAATGCCACCAGAGGAGGCATGGAGGAGAGGCAGGTCAGCATCTGTCCAGTGTCATCCTCCTGCTGGGTTATAGGGATGTGCAAGCATGTATGCCATGCCCAGTGCAAACTCCATGCTCATCTTGCCTCCCTCACCACACTCTTTGACTTGCTCTAGGGCTACAGGTTTGAACAGCTGTGAAAGCTGCTCCCCCTACTGGGTTTGCTGCAGCCTGGCAGGAGGTGTCAGTTGCGGCATCTCAGCAAAGTTCAATATCTGGTCCTCATTGCAGGCCCTTCCTGACCACCCTGCCTGCAGAGGGCAGGCCAGGAGGGCAGACACTCACTCGACATGTAGCTGATGATGCGATTGCTCAGCTCTGCATAGTCCAAAGACAGGAGGGACCCATCTCCACTAGCTCCTGGTGGCCCTGGGGGACCCCGAGGGCCCATCAGGTACTGACGCAGGTATTGACGCACTTCATCACCTGGAAGGGAGAGGATGTGCTAGTTAGTGAGGACCCACCCAGCCATGGGGTTCCTCAGCCACAGTCTGGCTCCCAGTGACAGTTGTGAGTTCTGGGTTGTCAGGCCCACACTGTGTGTGTGTGTGTGTGGGGGTTCAGAGGGGGGTCAGCAAGCTTCCAGGCACCTGGAGGGGCCCCTGCCTGCTTGCTTGGCATTGTCTGGAGAGGGGAGATTTGCCTCGCACTTTCCAGCTTGTTTGTGTCTCAGTAAGCAGAGTGAGCAGTGAGTTAGCAGCTCCTTGTTCCAAAGGACTGCTTCCTGTTTGAAGCCCTCACAAGGTGTGTATGACAGGTGGAGTCTGGAGACAGCAAGGAGGGTCCCACCCTCTCATCCCCCACAGGTGACTCACGCTGCAGCACAGCCAGGATGTCTTCGGAGGAGATGGAGGACGAGGAAGAGGTGATACTGTACCCTGAAGCTGCAGAAGAAAGACGTCAGGTGACCTACTCTGGTCCTAAAGCAGATCCTGTGTATCCAGACCTGAAATACCTGCCCAACCAGTCACTTCTCTTTGAGCGAAATGAATGAATGGGGGGCATTACAGGCATTTAGAAAGCACCCATTTAGAAAAGCCCCAAATGGTGGTTCTCAGTGTTGTTATTATTATTTTGGTAAGAAATGTGGTTTGTTTTCCACTATGAGATCTAGTCTCACTCCTTCCAGATACTGCCAATATGAAGGATTCCTTTTTATGAGCTAGACAAGAAAGGCCTGTGATTAGGAACACACTGGCCAGATGCTCACAAGGGCTAAGCAAACAGAGAATTAAGAGATGAGACTCCGGGAACAGGAGTGGACCCTTGGGAAGAAGATGACCGAGCCAGGGGTGGGACCAGGCTTACTCTGCAAGTACTTCACAACGTGGCTTGCCAGCTCTGCATAGTCAAAAGTCTCTCCTGTAATGGTGGTGACAGGCCCCGGAGGACCTCGTGGGCCTGGGGGACCCTGTACTCCAGATAGATAAGACCTAATGCTGTCACCTGCCAACAAAGGAATGATATAAAGTCAAGCTGGTTCTCTCCATGGAGGAGAACTGCAGTATGTGGGGGCCACCCCACACACGAGCTCAAAGCAGGGCCTGCAGGGAGCTTAGGCTCCTTTGATACTGATAGAGAAACTGAGGCCTGTGTTGGGTCGGGTGGCCCGTAAGGGCTGTGGACCAATATGACTCCATTGGCCACCCACTTGGTAAACCACCCACGTACCGGGATGCAGAGTAATGCACACACATAAGTGTGCTGTGTGTGCATTTGGACCTCCAGGTGGGGAGAGGATGAGGCTGCGTGTGTGGACAGGGGTTGGGGCACTCACTGACCTACAGGACAGGCTCCATGGGTGCTCCCTGTGTCCCACATAACCCATCCCCACCCCCCTGGCCACTGCTGCCTTATTCAGACCCCTGGCATGGGATGCCAGCCACTTACTCTGCATGTATTCAGAGATGTACTGCTGAATCTCCTGGCCGGAGCTGCTGAGGGAGCCTGGAGGCCCAGGGGGCCCTGGTGGTCCAGGTGGGCCTGGCACATACATGGTGCTTGATGATCCCCCTGCAGGGAAGAGAAAGTGTCCTGACTTGGTTTCTTGGCCCTAGGGTCAGACCCAGGCTCCCTGAGGAGGGAGGGACTTTCTCAGTGGGAGAAATAGGACAGTGGCCAAGAGAAGGGCCACCTCTTTGAGGGGCATAGAGATGGGAGTTGTCCCAGGCTAAATTCCCATTTCTTACAGCAACCTGTTCACCACCTCACAGAATTTCCCTTCTCTCTGATCACCCATAACACAAGGGGCCATTTGTCACCTGGCATTGTTAGTTATCTTTAGATGTCTTTAGCAGAACCTGTGCTTCCCTCTCATCCCACCAGCTTGTAGCGTGAAAGTCAGCACTTGATCCTCACCCACGAGGAGGTACTGACTCAGTACTGAATCATGGCTAAGTTAACGAACAAATAGATCAATGTCCTCATTGGAATGATCAGTCTCACTTGAAGTAGGGAGAGGGACTTGGGTCACCTTTTGTTCTTACCTTGAGAGGGAACTCCGGGGATGCCAGGAGCCCCTGGGACACCGGGATCACCTGCAATCCAAAAGTGAAGCCTTGTTTGTGTCCCCTCCTCCGGGTAGACTTCCCTGCTTGAACCCAACTACACTTAGTGTATGGTTCTTGGTCTTATTACTGTAATGATGCCATGAGCTCTGTTTGGGCAGAGACTGTCCTCTACGTCCTTGTCTCTATCTCCCTCCACCTGTCCTCTCTTCTACCTCCTCACCACCTTCTTGACTACACCCTCAATGACCTTTGTTACCTTTGGGTCCCTGTGGGCCAGGTGGGCCTGGTGGTCCCTGTAGGTCAAATGCCAGGGAACTGGAACCTGAAAGCCATGAACACACAGTACAGTCAGCCAGGGTTGGGAGAGTCCCTGGGCAGAGCTGGAAGGGGCGATGCACAGCACTTAACTGAGGCTAAGAATGCCCAGAGACCCTGCTCGCCTGAGGGACACTCCAAGAGGGGACAGTTGGTTCACTCTCCTCCCAATCCCACCCCATGTTGGAAGCCCCCAAGATCCATGACTGCTGGGCCGACTTCCACTTTGGGCAGTCAGTGCTGGCTGCACACTTGCGTGCACCTGAGCTGCCTGCACAAATGCAAATACTCAGCCACCCCTGGAGGCACTGGGATCTACTCTGACTCACATGAACCAATTGTACTTCCTGTAAGCTCAAAGCTCTTGCCACCCCACCCCTATTCCTGGTTGTGTTTGATGCCAGCTCTACTGTACCTTGATGTCTTCGGGGGCCTGGGGGACCTGAGGGAAGGAGGCAGAGAGCTGTGAGACACCGACTAACATGGAGGAGGACATGGGGGCACCAGTGCTGCAGCAGATGCAGAACCTGGGGCTCCACCAGGTCAAAGGAGGAGGAGGCGGGGAATTTCTTTACAGAGGTTCTGACTCCTCCCCACACTCCCGCCCCCTGCTGCAGGCTCCTGAGCCCCTAAAGGGACCTGGCAGGAGGATGAGGAAATGCCCCTCCATGCTCAGGCAGCCTCATCTAAACTCTCCTAGCCACCAGGTGGGTAAGCAGGGGATTCATACTGGCTCCTGGTCTCCCTGGGACACTGCTCTCACCTGGGTCTCCCTTGGGGCCTGGGGGGCCAGGTGGGCCTGGAGGGCCAGAGAAGAAGTTTTCTGTAGAGGAAAGAAGCAGTTTGAGTGCAGACACAGTGGTGTGCTGAGGAAGCAGCGCACAGCACAGCACCTGGCATGGTGTAGATGTTCAGTCAACACTTGACAGATGGCTATAAGGATGGGTGTTTGCATGTTTGTATGGTTGAGAGGTTGGGTATAAAAATGAATGAGTGATAAGATGAATGGATGGATGGATCATCCACAAGGGACGAGTTCTGGCCTGATCTTTGCTCCAAGTTTATTTCCATAAGTTCCTTTGCTAAACTGTTAGCATTTATTTCATGTGCATGTGTCCTGTTACTTTTTCAGACCTAGGATCCTTGAGGACGAGACCCAGGCCTCCCCAGTCACTTCAGGAACTCCCCTGGGGCAGAGCTGCTGCTCCCTCAGGCCAGGGTGGTTGGGCTGGCATGGTTTAATCTCCCCTTGTGCAGCAAGAAGCAGGAAAATTATGCAGACACAACCCCCATGGAGAGGCAGAAGGAGGATGCCTGGCCAACAGGTCTGGAAGGTCATGAGGCTGTGACCCTGGATCATGCCAGGGCTAGGGCAGGGACAGGTGTGACTCAATGCCACAACATTACCTGAGTCAGCCAGGAAAGATCCTGGTGGGCCTGGTGGGCCTGGCAAGCCTTCTCCTAGAAAGAGGAGCCCCCAAGATGCATTAGTGCCAAGAGGTGGGACAGGGGCCCTCTGCCTGAGAGGAAGAGGAGACAGGGAGCTCTTTCCTAAAAACCAGGCTGGAGGGCACCCCCTTTCTTGTTACCTCCCTTCCCTGTTACCTCCCTTCCCCACTCCTGCAGGGAGCCTAGCTCTCACCTGGAGGTCCTCGGGGTCCTGGAGGGCCGGGGATGGCAGGCCCTGCAAAAGAGAGTGAGTAAGAGGAAGCAGTGAGCTCAGGGGGCCAATTCACCCCGAGAGCAGGATCTAGGCTTCCTTACTAAGTGCCTTCAAGATCCCTGAGTTGCTCACCTGGTGGCCCACGTGGCCCAGGTGGGCCTGGGGGACCTCGTAAATCAAGACCTTCTGTAGAGAGAAGAAAACAGAATTGAGAGAAAGCAGTGGCCAGGCTGTTCTCTGCCCTGCTCCTGACTGCCCACCAGCATGGTCAGCCTCAGGCGGCCAGGTTACATTCATGCCCCAGGGACCAGGCCGTGGGTCTTGGCACAGGACCCTCTGGGACCCCATTTGCTGATGGTGCCTTTCCCTCAGGGGCAGGGTGGGGCTGCAGTCAAACTTCCTGGCAACTAAAAGTAAGTAGGGAGTTGGGTAAAAGCTTGGGTTTTGATGCCTCTTGGCCTTCCCCTAGAAAGCAGGGATCACATCTTTATCCTGCATATGCGGCTGGTGACTCTGGGCAAGTTCAGCCTTGATTTCCTCCCTGTGAACCACAGCCAACTTACATTATGGTGGCATCTTAGCATAAAATGCCACTGAATGCTAAGTCCCCAACACAACTCAAGCACACGATGAGGGCCTGACCAGGGTGGGGGTGTTGTTTTATAGCTTGGCATGTCATGTCCGGTGTCCAGGTGGAAGGCACCTGTAACTCCACCTGGGCTCTGGAAAGGACTTCGTAGACAGGCGGCTGCAAGAGCCAGCCGTGCCAGCCTGGGCCTGTGGCTGAGAATCACAGAGCCTAGCCGCTGCCCTCTCTGAGTGGGGGATGTGCTACTCCCGCCAGCCATACTCGCTCCCAAGGCCTGGCCTGACCCTGGGTCTTCTGAAATCCCAGAGCCTCTGACAGCTGCTGCATCCCCAGTGACTGAGCCTCCACACCAGACAAGCCCTGCTGTTCTTCTGAGCTCTCACTGCATTGCGCAAGATGTGGTCATCCTCACATCGGGCCCTCGGGGATGCGGATGACTCACTGATGCAGCTGCCATCTCTCCTACTCCTGCCCGCAATGTCACCTGCCCTAGAGAATGGTGGCACTCACGAGCAGAGAGGACTTCGGAGATGGAGCTGCTAGAACTGATGAAGGATTCACCCGCAAGTCCTGGCTCCCCTCGTGGACCTGTCGGGGGTACAGAGTTAGGTGGGCACCCCTGGCAGTGACCGGCCACTGCTTTCCCTTTGCAGTGGTCACAGGGGCCAGAGCCAAGGTGGGGCAGAGCTGAGGGAGGGCAGTGCCAAGGGCAAGTGAGCAGGGCCAGCGTGCTGATAAAGGACAATTCCTTCTGAAGCCAAAACTCCCCAGGAGGCCTTGGGCCAGCTTTCCCTAAACCTGGCTATTTTTGGATATTTGGATAAATCTCTTGACAGCCGCATGATTATGAGGGTCTAGCCAGAGTTCAACCTTGAGCAGGGGGCCAAAGAGCTTTAATCCCCGTCCTGAGGATCCCGAATTTCTGAGAAATGTGGAAGGAGGTGAGAGCGGGTAGTTCTCTTTGCAGCTCAGGCCTCGCAAGGCCCCAGGGGAAGAGCCCCACCCACCCTCCTGCTCCTTTCCTCCCAAGTACAGGGGTCCAAGCCCCACCTGGGAAGAGAGTCCCCTGACCAGAGCCACAGTCTGAAGTCTTTCAGGGTGTGACATACCTTGCTGTCCTGGGAGACCAGCGGGGCCAGCAGGACCTGGTGATGGGGTCAGGGAAGAAAAGGCTAAATCACACCTCTAGGTCACAGGAAGAAAGGGGAGGTACCCAGGTCCATGTGTAACCCTCACAAGGTGTGGCCCAGTGGCCCAGAGGGGGTGACTTGTTTATTTTGAGAGCAATAAGCAATTTGAGGCCAGTCCAGAGACCTCTCTGACAGGTGCCAGGAATCCTGAGGGTAGTCAGGGCTGTTCTCAGTGGTTAGGGACTTACACATGTCCCCACTGACCTCCTCTCACTGGAGCTCATCAGGAGGGAAGGCTGGTATATACTTGCATTATTTGTATTAAGTTATGTACTTCACAAATATTTATTTATTTGTGATGGTGGTGGCTGAAGCCAGGGCCTCACACATGCTAAGCACATGCTCTACCTCTGAGCCACATCCTCAGCCCTTCATAAATATTTTAAGCAACTAAAAATATGTGACAAGATAATGGGAATTTTGGAAGGAAAAAACCATCCATTATTCTTTAGCTTCTGAGCATTTTATTTCCTTCCATCAATTGTTTTGCATCTTTCAAAATTATAGTTGTAACCACAAAGCACATATCAAGTTCTTTTAAATGCTTACCAATAACTCCTGACAACTTTCTCCAAAAGTCTTCATGGTTTTGTAACCATCCCATGTGAGTGGAAGGTTTGGGATATTTCCTGCTGATAATCACTAGCATTTGTGTTGCCCTTGATGCCCATTTTCAAAGAAAAAACTATGGGCTCACTGATCTAGTTCTAACTGCTCTTAAACTTTAGAGGCAGAATGTTCTGGCCTGCTGCTTCTTGGCTGTGTGACCTTAGGTGCATCATTTACCTGCTCTGAGCCTCAGCCTTCCCATCTACAAATGCTATTTGGCCTCCTCTCCTGTGAGGCAGGATAGCTGATCTGCCTCCTTGACCATGAACACCAGGGTCTGTCTCTCAGCCCTCCTCACTCTCTTTCCCAGGCTCCTCCCCTGGGTTTCAGGATTCGAGCAAGCATGGCTAGAGTCAAATGCAACCACAGCATGCTGCTGATTGGGCAAAGCAAGAAAACAGACTGACCTGGGGTACCTGGGGGCCCTGGGGGTCCCATCGCTCCAGGAGGCCCTGGGGGGCCTGGGACAGTGATTGTTGATGATCCACCTGGAAACAGAGGCACATGAACCCTGAGCCCCACTTTCTGGCTCTGAGGCTCTGGCAACCCTAGCAGGTTGTGGGCCAGGCAGACTCGCACTTGTGCCTCTCTTCACCTCTGAACTCCCCCCCTTGCCTGCCTGCTGGCCCAAAGACCTCACAGCCACATCCCACCCCAAGCGCCATGCTTCCCAACCAGTGCTTCTTGGAGGACACAAAGGCAGAGCCAGGGCAGGTGCACCACACAGGAAAGAGAAAGACACCATAAGGAGGGCCCTCCCAGACCTTCCTACCTGAAGTCACTATCTTGCCTGGAGTGCCAGGTTCACCTGGGGAGGACAAGGAAGATTGGACAGGAGGGTAATTAGGGGCTCACCAAATCGTTTTCATCCATTCACTAATAAATCTATGGACTCAGGTATGTCTGGGGTAGATGACCTTGGCTGTCATTATTTTAGGGTTACATTTATTTATCCTGTAAGAACTCCTTGGCCCAATCAGTTGTCGGAAGTAGTTTCTGGAAAATGGTTGTTTTGAGGGTCCCACCAGGGGTGACAGTGGCTCATGACAGAGTACAGCTATAGAGCATCAGGATTCAGGAGCTGGGTCACAGGGACAGAAGGAACACTGTGTATCTCTGGGCTTGCTCAAGGCTTGTCTGCGGGGCATTTACCATTTGAATAGCATTCTAACACTCTCACAGAGCCACCTCTCAGGAGGACCTGGTGGACCTAGTCACACTGAGGCCTGTGTGAAGAACAAGACCAACCATGTCTTCCAGCCTGGTTAAGAGTCACATTATTGGGGACTAAGCCTAAGCAAGGGGGAGGAGGCATGAATGGGGCATTTAGAAGAAAATCAGGGAATAAGAAGTTTTGGAGGTGGGCATCTCCCTTCCTGATCTTCCTGCTATGACTGACTGGAACCAACAGTGAGGCTCTGGTGTGGGGTGAGGAGGTGGAGTGGAGGAGGAGGCCTAAAGACCTAGGGCCTGGTTGCTCAGCATGGACCATGGGGCTCCCATCTCTCAGCATTTGCTGGAGCCACTAGATGCCACTGTTGGTCCAGGCTCTGGCCAGAGAGGGGTCTCCCTTTTGCAAAAAATGACTAGTGAAAAGAAAGCACATCTCATTTGGAAAATCACTTACCTTTAGTCCCCGGAGGGCCAGGGGTCCCAGGAAGTCCTAAGGTGATTAAAAACATGTCAGTCAGGATAATTAAGGTCCCAACATTCCAGACAGCCTGGGGCAGTACCACGCTCTCTGTCACTCAGCACAGCCACACTGGCTGCTGGCTGAAGCCCTGAGAAATACGACCTGGCCCTCAGCGTTAGCCCAGGCAGCCCCTGAGGGAGCCTCTTGCCCTGAGGCCCGTCCCTCTCTGGGAAATTGGGCAAAAGCTGGGCTTGAGGTAGGCTGAGCCCATGAGCTCTGCTCTGGGGGATTCCAGTCCCACTGGGTTGTGAGCTCCTGGTACCTGCAAAGCAGCCATAGCCCCCCTGTTCCCCCAGGCTGGGGCTGGCCTGCAGTGCTCCTGCTTGCTTTTGAGCATCTGAGGATGTCACTGAGCATGTAGTGTCTGGGACCCTGCTGTGTGGTTTCATTTGAAATCCTTGCCTAATTTCCTTTAGGAAATGAAGGGCTGAGTGTGGAGATGATTTCTCAAATCCAGATGGATAATTATAGGATGGACTTGAACAAAAAACGAGAACTTGAAACAAGGTGGGGATGATGGCCACTCCCTCCATGCTAGTGAGGAACGTGAGCCAGAGCTCCTGCCCAGCAGAAGCCCCCACAGAGCTGCTCTGGAGCATTCCTGCACCGGGAGAGACAGACCAGTCAGACAGAGCAGCGCACACCATCCAACCTCATCGTTACCAGAATGGTGTTTTAGGCTGTTCTGTGTATGTTTTTCTTTCTCTTCTCAAGTCTCCTTGTGGAAGGGGAATTGGGGAAAGGGGAGGACACTCTCAGGTGATTGGAGAAAAGTGCTGGCCAAAGTGGCTATCCTGGAAAGAAATGGGATTGACCCCGTGACTCACCCTGAGGTCCCTGGGGTCCTGTGAGACCTGCAGAAAACAAGACACAGGGGTGAGAGTTGAGGTGCTAGAGGCTGTCCTCAGCTGCAGGGGCAGGTGGACATGGCAGTGGAGGGGTAAGTGGGTACAGGACAAGCCTCACACTAGGGTGTCCAGGGCCCTCCAGCACTGGACAGAGAGCAATTCTTTCAATTTTTCAGTGAAGCAAGCCAGTGCTTCCTCAGGCACTGATTCTAAACTTCTTTGGGTCCACAAATCTTATGAAATCTGAGAGCCAAGGACCCAGAACACATACTGACAGACCCCCAAATACTGCCCCAGGTTCCCTCCCTTAGCGCTACACTTGCACATACCAGCTAGGTGTCCCCCTGCCCTCCGTGACCCCTGATGAATGGCCACCTGCTGTAACCACACAACTTTCTTGGCTTTTTTTGGGGGGGGGGGTACCAGGGATTGAACCCCAGGGTTCTTAATCACTGAGCCACATCCCAGCCCTTTTTGAATGTTTTTTAGAGACAGGGTCTCACTGAGTTGCTTAGGGCATTGCTAAGTTGCTGAGGCTGGTTTTGAACTTATGGTCCTCCTGCCTCAGCCTTAAGATTTGCAGGGATTATAGGCCTGGGCCACGACACCAGGCTCTGGGCTCTTTTTGATCTGTTCTTCTTGCCGCCTTAAGGATCCTGCTCTTGCTTGGCCCTTAGTGGAAACTCTAATGAGGGCTTTTCTCCTCTGACTGGTAGGGACCAGGTATGGCCCCAGGAAAGCAGGACAGAATGGGAAAGGCCCAAAGGAGCAAGATATCAAGCTGGCAGCATGCGAGTGTGCAATTTTAAGTATCCTTGCCCTTTTCTAGAATTCCTTGCTTTCAGTTGTTAATCCCTCTCTCCCAAGTGCCACACTTGGTGGCTCTAAGTGGCCAGGGCCCTGCAGTCACCACGCACAGCACCACCTGCTGTGTGAGTTTTCTGCTGAGCTGTTGGAGGTAAAGGGGATAAGGCATGTGAGGGTGCACTGGTATACACTCATGTACATACACACAACATGTGATCCCATGACACCCCTAAACAGATGCCCACACACCTCTGCACATCTCCACCTGAAAACCAGCAGGGTGGGGCTCCCTCTTCCTGCCCTGTTACCTGGCTTTCCTGGATCTCCAGCAGGTCCTGGTAGGCCACGGGTTCCAGGCATCCCCGTCATGCCTTGCTCACCTGGAGAGAGCATGGGCAATGAGAAAGGGTTTCCCTGAGGAGAGCTGACCACCAGTGCCTCAGAGCAAGGCCTCTGGGATTTTCCTGACTGTCCTGCTGGTGGGCAGGAAGGAGGAGGGGAACAAGAACTGGACAGGCACACTTCCACATGCCAAATGCATGTGGTATTATGAAGAAGGGAACTGGGGACCCATGCAGGGACATAGGTAGGGCAGGGAATGGGAGACATGGGCAGGTGCGAGTGAAGACAGGAAATCAGTAACCAACCTCTTGGGCCTTGTTGTCCATCAGGGCCAGCAGGACCTGAGCAAGCAGAAAAGCAAAGTTCATCAGTCCATGGACCCCTGGAGCTATTTCTGTGACTTCCTTCCTGTCCCAGTAGCCTCAGAGCTTGAGGTCTCCCAGGTGGGAGCCTTCCAAACCCTCTCTATGGTGTTGACTGCAGGAGAGCCTGCTTTGTCCCACCTTCTGGAGATAGGCTTCTCCTAAGCCAGCCACGGTCTATGTGCCTGCTGAGAGTGGTCCAGGGCTCCCATCCCACTGCGAGGGCTGAGGGCTCATAAGTGTTCACCTCATTTCCCTGAGGTCCTGGAAGTCAAGGTCTTCCAGTTCTTGTCTCCTCTGCTTTCTGCTCCAGTTATCTGCTATCCTAACCCCATCTGAGATGGTGTACTTCGGGACTGTGCCTCTACTCTCTGTCTTTACTCGTGTTGTGTCTGCATGGATTATTTTCCACGCTGATCAGGATGAAAATCTTCCTAAGTTTTTAGAACCATCTGAAATGCCATCTCCTCCATCCTTCTGGTTGGGAGAAATCTCTTCCTCCATTATCTAACCATAGTATTTGGGGCCTTTCATTGGCCCCTGTCCCTTCTTGTAAGCTTTATCTCCTCTTGAGGGAGCAAAGTGTCTTACTTGTCCTGCCAACAGTCAGTGCTTGCCAAGAGCTAGTGAAATGAACAAGTGAAGGTGGTGCGTCCTTAGTGGGGGAGGGGGGCATAAGCCTCGAGACACCATGGTTCTCAGCCAGCCTGGTCCTCTGCAGGTCCTCAGCCAGCTTGTATGCCCTGGCTGTCAGGCAGCAAAGGGTAGCCACAGGGTGGCCACCTGGATCTGGTTGTGAAGCTCATCCTGGGGTGGGACACTGGGAGTCCCAAGGGACCTCAATTGTCTTTGCTTTGGCTTCCAGGCAGGAGCCAGGATGATGGGCCACACCCTGCCAAGCCTGACCTAGAGCAGTGAGAAACCCACAGAGAACTGCAGCTTGCTGAGCCCCAGAGGAATCCTCAGACCCAGAAATGACCAAAGAGGGGGACTTGCCCAAGGGTGGGCAGGGGAAAGAGAGCTGCAGCGGCAGCTCTAGAAGAAGAATTTCTACAGGGCCGTGATGAGCTCTGGAATAGGCAGACACTCTTTGGGACACTTACCCATTGCTCCTTTAGCTCCAGGCTCACCCACCGCTCCAGGCAAACCTCTCACTCCAGGCTCGCCTGCACAGGACAGAGGACCAGCTGGTTGGAGGCTGGCAAGCTAATGTGTGCTTTGAACATGGTAGCACGAGCCCACTTCCTCCCACAGCCCAAGATGCCTGCCTCCTCTCCACATAGAGGAGGTGGGAAGCAATTGCTGCTTTGATTCCAAGGCCAAAGACCCCTGCTCCCCCTGGAAGTAGGCACAGATTGACCCAGAATCCACACTTGATCTGAAGGGACTTGTGTATGAACCCAATTTCCTTGGAAACAGAAAGCTAACCTTTGTGGTCAAATTATCATTACCATCAATGTCCTTTTTAATGATGCCAGTTGGCAGGCGGTAAGTGGCTGAGCAGGTGCAGTGGCACACATTTTCTTCCACTTTGGAATTTGCTTATTAATTTTCCCAACTGGATTCGTCCAGAGGGTCACAGATGAGTAGATACCCCCCCTTTTGTACCAAGTATCTATTGTTGGGACTGTGCATTTTGAAGAGTGTTTGACCCCCATTTATGGCCTTATTCTATCTTCTCGGCTTTTTCTAGAAGGCAAGTTTCCTGAAAGTCTTGAGAGACATTCTGTCTCCTTCTGTATTTTTTTCCATCTCCACTGAACAATAGACTTAAAAGTCATGAATGAACTAAAGTAGATTCCTATAGAGGACTGACCTGTGAGGCCTCGAGGTCCTTTCTCACCCTGGTCACCTAAAACAAAACAAGGTGAGGACGTCATTAGTTGTGAACAAGGAAAACAATCTCCCCAGTCACAGGGACCCATGGGCTCTTCTTACACTTGTAGGCTCCCACCAGCAGGATACTGGTAGGAATGTGGCGTTGGTGAAGTTGCAGGAGCAGGTTTGAGCTCTTGTCGGGTCAGGTCCCACCCACAAACAGACTCCCAGTCCCTGCTGGAGCACACACGGTGCCCTGGGCACAAGGAGGACCAGACCAGAGGACAGACACCTCAGAATGGGCATCCTCACTACACATGGACATGTGGTGATGGTACTTTGTTTCCCCTCTTTGTGCCTCAGTTTCCCCAAGGGGCTGGATAAGAGGACACTCTCATTCCTTCTCAGTTCCAGGGTCCAGGAGCCAGAGTCCTATGGGTTCTCAAACCCTTCACCAGGGGTCACATCTGAGTGCCCAGGAGTAGAGAAGACTATGGTAATGACTGAGCAGCAGTGGAAACAGCATATACCTTTGGGTCCTGGTGGTCCCATAGGTCCTTTGTCGCCTGAAAAGGAAATGGACATCTTGTTTAAAGGGCCTCACAGGGACAACCAAGAAGGGTCAATGTCTATCTCTGAAGACAGCTTTTCCTCCATGCTGACCTCATCACCCCCACTCTCCCATATGTCAGCTGCACTTGCTGTGGGCGTCACCTGTCCATCAGACCCAACCCCTACCTCCCGTCCCCTGTCCTCCCAGACCTCCTTCTTGATCCCAGGATGATGTACTCTTCCCCCAGCTTACCTTTGACACCAGGGAGTCCCACTTCACCTCGGAGCCCTTGGGGACCTATAGAACCTGCCAGCGGAGGAAGGCATACAGGTGGATGAGTGTCCCATCTTTGGAAAGGATGGATGCACACGTGTGTTTGTGCACATGCATGCTACAGTTGTGTACACCACCCAGGTCCACACACCCTAGAATCAAGTCTACGGCTGCTTTCCCTGCGCTCCTCCCCATGTCCCTGCTAAACTGGCCCAACTTTCTTGACCCTGCTGATCAGGCCCTGGGCATAGGAACACCTCACAGGACCCAGGCACAGACATTGGCTGCAGCTTGAGATCCTCAGGACAGCAGGAAGAGCTCTTTGGCTCTCAGGGGTGGAAGCAGGGTGGGGCCTAGGCACTGGCTCAGGTGAAAGGAGGATGGGAATCTCCCATTGCCAAAGCTGCTGGTGAGTCTGAGACCCATGCCAGGTCTCAGACCAGACCTGGACAGAGCTCATGAGGGCCCCTGAGCTCAGCTGCAGGAGACACATGCCTAGACTTGAGTTTTGTGTCTTCAGGAGGCTTGAACCCCAACCCTGTAATTGCTTCTTTTATTTGAAAAATGTTTAGTTTTCCTTTTAACACCACCACCCCGCCTTTTGCCCATAAATAGCATCAATTTACAAGAAGCAGCACACTGACCTGGGGGGCCATGGGGTCCAGGAGAGCCACTGGAACCTGAGAAGAAGGACGAGACAATCAGCAGAGTCAGATGCAGGCAGGGGCTCCTGACTCATGGTGAAGGGCAGGTGGGTGTGGAGGGAGCTCATCTCCAGCTGAGGGCTGTGTGGGTATGTGTTGCCCGCCCAGAGGGGTCCTTGCCAGGACCCACGTGAGACAGTACAGGAGGGATCCCAGTGCAATCTCCTTCTTAGGAGGAGGCTGCAGGTGGGCAGGGTGGAGAGTGTCAAGGGACCCTTGCTCCTTCCTGGTCAGAGTAAGAAATTTAAACTGGGACAAAAGTTAGAGGGCAGGTGGCCAGATAGGCATCACACTGTGAGAAGGGGCCCATTCTCCCTGGGTCGTCCAGATGTGCTGTTTCTGATGTGTGTAGCTGGGCCCCAGTCAGTGGACAAAATCGACTTCTGATTTCCTGCATCGTCCATCTACCGCTTAAGGACCACATAAGGTGGCCACTGGAGAGAAGAAAATGTGGCTCCAACCCCATTATGGGGCTAAAGTTATAGGCCCAGTCTTGACCCTCAGGGACTCTGTCATCTCTCTCTTTTTCTTTCTTTTTTTTTTTTTTTGGCCTTAGGCAGGGGCCAGTTCTGTCTGGTACCCCTGGGCCTGCTTCTCTGTGATCCTCTTAGATGTGGCTCCTCCCTGGCCTGGCTTGGATCCTGTCCTGGGCACCGGACATACCTTTTGGACCCACAGAACCCGGGACACCAGGAGGGCCCTGAGGACCAGCTTCACCAGTAGCTCCTGAGGAGAAAAGGAGGAAGAAGAACTTTGAGAGAGTCCTCCTCCAAGGCGGCTGCTCCCCCAGTCCACAGTGTCTCTTCCCTCCCTGCCATTTGTCCAGGATCCATTTGGTGCCTCTTTGAGGCCACTAATCAGAATAAATGCCTTCCGTTTCTACCCCCAAGCCTTAATTTTCCATGAAGTCTGGCACCTGGGAGGCACTCCAAAAATATTGGCTTTGTCTGGTTGAGAAACATTTTTAAGAGAGAGTGAAACAAAAAATACGTCTTCCTGCTTAGCCTTTGGGCATTAGAGGATTTCTAGGGTCTGTCTTGGTTTCCCCACATCAATACAGCTTCAGGTTTCAGGATCTAAATCACAAAAGCTCCCGGGGGAGCCCCCCCACCCCCAGTGCTGGGCCTATGCCTGGGGCTTTCCTGCCCTCTGTCCTGCTGAGTTCCAGCCCTGACAGGGCTGAACCCCACCCCCCTGTGCTGTCTGACAAGCCCAGCCTGCCCTCAGCTGTCCACCGTGACCTCCCTCCTCCCTCCACCCTGCTCTTGGAAGGACATTTCACTGAGGCCTCTTTGGGTTCCAGGAATCACAGCTGTTCCTAGGCCCTAGGCCTGGACCATATCCTCTCTCAAGCCCCGTGATTAGTCTTCTGTCTCCAGAGGGCCTGGCACAGGCCCAGCTCAAGGAGAGTGCTCAACTGAAGGGAGGAGGAAAGGGGACAGATGGAAAGAAGGAGGACCGGGGCTGAGGGTGTGGCTTAGCTGTGGTATGTTTGCCCGGCACTCCTGAGGCCCTGGTTTCTATCCCCAGCCACTACAAACAAACAAAACCAGAAACCTCCCCGTGAAGGAATGGCCTCTTACCTCTGTCCCCTTTCTCTCCAAACCCAGGAGGCCCTGGTTCACCACGAGGTCCCATGGGGCCCTCTCGCCCTCTCTGGCCCATGGGTCCTTCCATGCCAGGATCTCCTAAAGATAGGAATGGCCAGTGTCACAGTTAGGGTGGGTCCCAGAGGCACCTCTCACTGACAGAACTCTGGCCTGGAGCCTCTTCCCTGGCCCCTGATCCCCACTAGCCCCTGCAGTCTTGGCTCAATCCAGAAGCCAGAGTGACCTTTTAAAATGTGAGTAGATTATGTTCCAGCTCTGCCCCAAACCTGCACATGGCTTCTCAGCTCGCTCCGGGAAAGACTGGCATCTTATGCTGGTCTCAGGGCCCCAACGGCCCACTCTTCTCAACATCTCTTTGGCCTCCTGGAGCTCTTTGAACTGCTCCTTGAACTTGCCCTTGGGACTGGCCTTGGCTGTCCCCTGCCTGACATGCTTCCCCAGATCTGGCGCCTGGTTCCCTCTCTCTTCAAGTCTTTGCTCCCTGACCTCCCTATGTAACTCACCCTCAGCCCTGACTCCCAGCGTCCTCCAGTTCAGTCTTTCCCACTTCACACTGGCCCCCTACCCTGCTAATTATCTCCCCCCACCCAAATGGAAGTGACACAGCCGCAGGGGCCTCTCTTCTGTGTTAACTGATGTTCCCTGAAACTGGGCCAGGAACACAGCAGGCATTTAATGAATGTTTCCCAAATGAATGAATAGAAAAAGAGGCTCTTACCCACGCTGCCTTTTTGTCCCTTTGGTCCTTCTGGACCTGGGTGGCCCAAGAGCCCAGGGATACCTGTGGATACACAAGAAGACCTCAGCCCCCATGTCCTTTGGAAGCAGGCAGCTGGGAGATAGCAGCACTAACACCACCAGGGCCAGAGGGAGGTCACGGAAGGTTACACACCTGGAGTCCCAGGGAGACCTCGATCTCCTGCAGAAACAAAGGTAAAGGGATGTCAGTCAGAGGACCTGAAAGGAGCATTCAGGTGGAATTGCCAAAGTTAGCAAATGTAAGTACAGATGTCTAGTTCTGCTTGAATTGCAGATAAACAACATATAAAGTTTTAGTGCTAGTATGTCCCTTAAGATCCACGGGACACACTTTGAGTAAAAAATTATCATTTATCTGCACTTCAAATGTACCTGGAGTCCAGTGTTTTACCTGGTCATTGCAGGTTGAGGGGCTCTGGAACCACCAGTCCCCACTTATCCCCATCAGGGTTGGACTATAGGCTGGGGAAAGGGGGCGGGGGAGCCAGGGTATATGGGGAGGGCGGGCAGGGAGTCACGAGGGGGTAGGGAGAGGGAGAGGGCTACTAAGTGGAGGGACCCCATTCCTGCACTCAGGTCTATTGGGAAGCAAGATTGATCTGGGGACAAAGGGTGACCCTGTCCTCTTGAGTGGTGGTCCTCAGCATTGACTGCACCCCTGGCTGCAGACTGAAGACTGCTCACCCCATCCACACCTGCTAAGACTCTGGGAGTGGGGCCAGCAATCTTGTGGCAATTCCCAAACACACAGAAGTGTAGCAGCCCCAGTCAGAGGGTCAAGGAAAGCTACTCTACCCTGTGAGGGTCACCCGCATTGGAAACCTCCTCCTCCTCACTGTGCAGTTGTCCCATGGAATGTCAGTCACTTTTCTCGTTATGAAGGGGGTTTTCTGACCCATGCTGATTGCTTTAAACCATTAACCCTCACTAATAATAAAGGTGAAAATGTCCATGTGAGATTTACCTTTAGGGCCTTGACTTCCCATGTCGCCTAAAACGAGAAAGGCATGAAAACTGTGAGATCGGTAGGGACCAAGGGCCATTCTCTCCCTGGTACTTCACAGCCGTTTGACAATATGGAAGCCATATGTCAAGGCAATGGGATGGCAGTCTCCATCTGTCCCTCCGTCTCCATCTGTGTCCCTTGGTACACTGCCAGAACTCTCCTACAGGCTGCGCAGGTCGCTTCCCACGCTAAGATCTTCTGACTCTAAAGACAGTTCTCAGCCCTCCCAACGGAACCACAAGGGGGTCAGCACCTCGTCTTCATGTTTGGAAAAAGGACAAAATAATCCACCCAGAGAATCCACCTGCAGGAATGAGAGCAGGGAAAGGCTGGGTCCGCTGCAATACCTTTAGGGCCAGGGCTTCCTCGGAGGTTTCCTACGAGAGAAAGTAAATCCTGAGTGAGTGTCACATCTCCTATGTCCTTCATTTGCACATAAGAGGGGGTCATGGGCGGCGGGAAGAAACCAAAGCTAGCTGAGGAGTCAGAATTAACACGGGGTTTAGTGATCTCGGTCAATTCTCCTCTTTAGGACTCAGTTTTTCCATCTGTAAGATGGGATCCCAGTCCTGGTACTACCTGCCTCTTAGCGATATGGAGAGGTGTGGGGAGAGAGAGACTGAGAGCCTGCTGAGTGGTAGCCCCGGGCCCCCCCCACACCCACACAAAGCAGCAAGAGACTCAGCTGAGCTGGCCCTGCACTGGCTGAACTCTCACCATTTTCCTGCTCAATCATCAGCTTGTTCCTCACGAAGAGCCAGAGTGCCTCCTGGCTGGGGATGTCCAGTCCTGCTTTGTCTATGCCAGTACCCAGGTCGGGCGCGGCTCCCTGCAGGCGGTCCTTGTTGCTCCTGTCCATCTTGTCCTCATAATAGAGCACGCCGGTCCTGGTCCTCTCCAGCTCGTCCACACGGGCTTTCAGCTTCCTCACCTCCTCCGCTGGAAGGGACAGACACAGGCGACATCAGCCAGGGCTCTCCCCAGTGCCTGCCTCGCTGAGCCTCCGCGTGGGGAGCCAGCCACGGGCTGCTTTATTCTGCTAGGCACAAGTTGCTGAACTACTTATGCAGAGACAATCTGTGGAGGCCACAGGAGGATGAGCTCCTCAGCATCCTCCCGGAGCCGTACAGAAACCTGGCCTGTCACCGGAGCTGGGTGCCAAAGTTTGCCCTCTCTTCTCCTGTGAGGGGGAGTGAGAGATGGCAGGAACACAGCCATAGGTGCTGGGAAAAGGTGGCAATGCGAAGACATGACCTTATTGTGAGGGGCAGCCAAATGCACACAGCAGGCTGCCACGGGTCCAGGGAGGGTGGGGAGGGACCAGGAGCTCACTGGCCACATGACCATGGCCAGGTGCCTCCTGGGGCTCAGTGTCCTCATCTGCAGGAACACCAGGTCTGCGCCTATGATCTCAAGCCTCTTGGTCCTGACACTCAGGGCCACTCTCTGATGCTTGTCCTTCTGAAGGGGTGGCGGGACTTGGGGGCCACCCTGCATCCTGCCCCTAGGCCTTTGCACATACCCAGAGCAATGAGGCCAAAGAGTAGTCCCAGGAGCAGCAGCCAGGTGAGCAGCAGGCCCAGCAGCCATTTCCACCAGCTGCAGCAGGAACCGCAGGGGCACCAGGCAGGTGCACCCCCCCACAGTCCCCCGCCACCACCGCCTCCACCTCCACCAACACCGCCGCCTTGGTCATAGCCATGGAGATCTGTGGAAGAGACAGGGAAGGTGGGGTGAATGCAGGCAGCTCCTGTTGTTTTCCCTCAAAATTCTCTAGCTTTTGGTGACTTCCTGTGGGCCTGAGTGGGAGTAGGGACTTCAAAGTTCCTGGGCAACTCCATGTTAACACAGGGCCATGGCTGGTGAGGAGCGGAAGTCTGACAATGCTGGGCTAGAGCTGTGTGACCCTGAGAAGGTCACTTAACCTTTCTGTTTCCTCTTTATAAAATGGAGTTAAAAGATTCCCTACTTCATCAGACAGTTGTTGAGTAAGATGAGATAAGGGTCAAAAAGAAATCAGAAAAAAAAAAATTAGCAGAGATGCAGCTCAAAGCCACAACCTCCTGCGTCTTATTAGGCCTGAATCTAAAGCTCCCCCATCTCCAGGACCACTGGACACAGCCCGCTCTTTGTGATCTCCACAGTGCCTAGAGTTACATTCAGTCCAGTAAACTTAAACATTTTTTTCAGGGTTTATAGTTCTCTAACTTCTGGGGAGGTACGACTCAGTGTGCTCCTACATAAGGTGAGGATAGGAGGTAAAAAAAATGGTAGGGGGCAGGAGTGTGCTTGGCTTAGTGTCCTCCTGGGCCCACATGGGAGGTTCTGGAGAAACCCAGAGTAGCCCCATCATGTTGCTCCTGCCCTGGTTGGAGACCCTGGACCTTAGGTCTTATAGTGGCTGCCAGTTAGGGGTGGTGGGGTCTGCAAAGCAACATCCCCTGGGCTACATTCCTTCTGAGGCCACCACCAGCCCACAGCCTGCCCACTCCCACCTTTACCCTATTCCTGCCCTTCTGTGCCCACAGGGAGCCTGAGTTGGGTGGCTCAAGTGTGTGTTGGCTCCAGGCAAGGGCCATAATCTGTTTGACCAAGTATAACCAGCCCTTGGATCCTGTCCCTGCAGGGTCCCCAACTCTCACCCACCTGCGGAGGTGCCCTTGCCCTTTGTGGATATGGTCTTCAAGTCTCCTAAAAAGACAAACACAAGTTCAGACCTGAGCTTTTAAACTGGAGGAGCCCATAGGCTGCCCATTGTGAGGTTTAGGACGTTAGGTCAATTGGCCACTCAGGCACCTCGCAGAACAGCAACGTTATGGACATCTAGCAACTCAGTCCTCAGGAGGCTGATATTTACAAAAATATACTGATGAAGGCATGGCTTGGCCAAGCACGTAATGGTGGAAGAATGGATAGTGTTTAACTCTCTTACAACCTTAAACCCTAAACCTCAACACATTTTTTGGAAGATCATTGTTTATTCAAAAAAAATAAATGTGCTCATGGGACATGACTGATTTATTTTTCTTTTTGGTGCTGGAGCTTGAACTCAGGACTCTGTTAAGCATGTACTCTACCACTGAGCTACACCCCCATCCCTACTCTGATATCTTGGCTAAGGGACTCTGAGCACAGGTGCACAGGTTGGGACGTTGGAGTGTGAACTGGGAAATCCAGCAAGGACAGGCTTGGAGGAGGGTTGTGTGTGAGTCTCTGTTGTTACTGTGAGCATGTGTGGAATTTCCTGGGAATTTGCGCATAGTTTTCATCAGATTCTGGAAAGGGTCTTTTGGCTTCACAGCCTAGCTCCACCCTTAAAAAAATGAGGAATTACTAACCTTGCTGACTGAGTCAGGTTAGTCTCCTGCCCTGTTGGGATGGTAGCTGTCTTATTTTACTTTATTTTAAAATGCTCTATGGCTAAATAAAATAAAAATTTTAAAATGCTCCATGGCTTAACTTTCCCTTTCTTTGCTGAATTCCCTAAAATCAGTGGTTTGGAGAGATTTTACAGGACTTTGAGAAGAAATGTGGAGACCCAAGAAAGAATTCAGATATTAGGGAAGGAAGAAGGAGAACGTGAAAGAGGAGAAGATGATAACCAAGGCTTTACAAAGCATTTTTTGATCAGTTCTGAAAATCATGGGAGAACTAATAAGGTGAGAAAAAATACCCATGTAACAAGCCAGGGAAGGGCTTTTCTTCAATGTCACATATATACCACCTGGGGAACTCGTTAATATGCAGCTTCCCACACAGTGCAGGGGGCGGAGCTTGATTTTGCATTTCTAACGTGCTCCCAGGTATTGCTGGTCCCCAGACCACACTTTGAGTATCAAGGTCTCACTTGCATTTCCAACATCCACACTTTGAGTATCAAGGTCTTACTTGTATTTCTAACATGTTCCCAGGTACTGCCAATTGCTGGTTCCTGGAGCCCCCTTTTGAGTATCAAAGTCTCAGAAGACTAAGAAAAATGAACTGTGGCTTGACTGAAGTCAATGGGAACAGCAGTCAGGTTGGTTCTTACCATTAGTTTCTGCTTTCAGGCAAGTGTCAGCAGCGTAGGCAGCCTGCTTTTCCTTTTTCAGGGTGTCTTCTGAAAAAGAAGCTGTGCGCACAACCCCTGACAATCTGGAGTATTCTCTCTCCACCCCTCCCGGCCTGTTGCACATCTCCTTGCTGCTTGGGGAGGTCAAGGGTACCCTGGTGAAGAGAGCCCAGCTTTCCTGGGGCTAACTTCCCCCATTCGTGCTTGTGAGAGTTGAAGTGGTCCAAGGACCCCTCTGGGAGCTCTGCCTGAGTTTTCCTGGCTCATTGGTTGGCATTCAAGGAGACCCTGGGAGGCTCCATTCAGGCAGACATTTTTCATTAGAATGGGAAAACCGTGGCTTCATGATTACACTGTCTGAAACCACCTTGCTAGGACACCATTTCCTACACCATTTGCCTTTCTCCTGTAGCCCCAGTCGTGGGGGGTGGGGGTCCCTGGCGTACTTGCAGCGATGCTGGCAGGGGAGGCCGTGAAGACCTTCCCGCTGTCCTTGGTCATGATCAGCAGCTCCATCTCCTTCTTGGCAGGCACATTGTCTTTCTCCAGGATCAGGAACTTGCAGTCCTTGTGCAAGAGGTCATCGCTCTGGACATTGGTGGTAGAGGCTGGGGAGGGAAGAAGCCAGGAGAAAGGAGAAGAAAGAAGCGATCGAGGGAGGGAGGAGGAAAGAAGAAGGCAGCAGAAGAAAGAGATCAGCAAGTGCACGTAGAGCCTCCTGATCTCACTGACTGTGGTGCTATGAAGCATTCTGGGACCAAAGCACCCCTCCCTGCCTGGCTGGGCCTGGCCATCAGGAGGTTGGGTCAATGACAGAAGTACTGGGTGACTGGTCAATGCAGCTGCCTCACCATACAGTCCCCCTTGTCAGGCAGGTCCTTCCTTAACAAGCATGGAAGGCTTGTCTTACCCTCCTAGGGAGGCTTTTCATTACCACTGCATCTAAAGCATTCCACCCTCACCATCTCTCCCACGTGACTCATTGTTTTCTTAAAATCTGTGTCATTTTCTCCAATTATCTTGTATACTTTGTCTTTGTGTTTGTCATCTGTTCACTCCACCAAAGTTGCCAGCTTACTGTCTCTCCCAGCACCTAGTATAGTGTCTGTCTGAAACAAAGGAGGTGCTCAATAAATAATTTTTTTTTTTTTAAAAAAAGAATGTTAGCCAGGTGTGGTGGCACATGCCTATAACCCCAGCTACTCAGGAGGCTGAGGCAAAAGGATAGCATGTTTAAGGCCAGCCTCAGCAACTTAGCGAGACCCAGTCTCAAAAGATAATAACGAAGGCTGTGGATGTAGCTCAGTGGTAGAGCGCTCGCCTAGCATGTGTGCAGTTCTGGGTTTCTGAATGGGAGGAGATGCACCAGGACCACAACAATGGTGGGAGCCCATGTTGATAACGGTTCTAGAGGAAGTGGAGAGGATGCTGGCAGCTTCCGAGGGGCTCCTGGGTCTTATGATGGTTACAGGTAACAGGAAAAGGCCAAGGGCTTCCGGGCAAGGGTGATGACAGACCCTAAGCAGCTGTGGAGCACGGAGCTTCCTGTTCCTGGGACAGGCAGCCCCAGTCAAACGCAGGAATGCTCATCTCTGAATCTGAATCTCATGGAAACATCCATGGGGGGTTGTGTTTGTGGACCTCAGGACACCCAGGGACTCTATCCTCTTGTATTATACGTTGCATGTCACAGTTGGGCAGTTCTCTCCATGTGCCAGCCTGACCTGTGGCAGCTAGAAACAGCTCTCACCTGTAGAGGTGGTGGATACACCGGTGCTCACGACGGCAGGGCTCTGGGGCACGTTTTTCTTCACACCATATGCTGCAAAAAAGGGACCACTGATGATCTGGGCCAGCGTGGGAGGGTGGGTCCTGCTACTCTAGAGCAGCCTGATCAGCCCTGGCAGAGAGGCAGCCTCCCCAGGGAGATCAGCAGCTGTGAAATCAACCCTCTCCAGCCACAGAGAAGCAAGGAGGGTTTAGATGGAATGTTCTTGGGTACAATCTTCCTTATCCTTCTAGGGTGTTTTAAAGGCCACTTCCTCTAGGAAGTCCTCTGCCTCTTTCCTTCTGCACCCCTATTTTGTGCTGTACATTACTTAGTTCCTGGTGTTTACAGGATCCCCCTTTCCTTTCCCGTGTGCTGAACTTTCCACTCTAACTGAACAGCAGGCAAGCTGAAATCAAGGCTGAGCCTGACATCATTTTTGTTTTTACTCCCTCCCTGCAGGTTTGCACAGGGTCAGCAACCTGGGGGGTGCACCATAAAATAAACTAGCTGATTGATTTGTAGGGACAGTGGACTGCCAAGGAGTGGGCAGGGAGCAGGGACCTGACCCACTGGGCTGTGAGATACACGGGGTATACAGGTGACATGTCCCAGGGTAGGCTGCCCTGTATGTTGAACTCATGTCTCAGCCAATAAATGAGCAAGATTGACAACTCTAAGTTGGGGAGGGGCCATTTGGGGAAAGGTCAGTTGCTTTGCAGAGGCCCTTTGGTCCTTCAAATTCAGTTTTTGAAAAGGCATATGTGAACTGTAGCCTTAAAGAGATGTCATGACCCCACCCCTGAGCTCCAAGCCTCAGCTACTACGAACCTGTGGAAGTGGTGGCAGTGGCCGTGCTGTGGGACAGAGCAGACGAACTGGGGCCCAGATTGTTCTGCATGCCAAACACTGTGAGAGGGATTGAGAACAGGTCAGACCAGAGTGCACAGAGGATGTCCCCCGCTGCGGCAGCTTCCTGGAACCCCCCAAACAGTTTCTTTTCTTCTCTTTTCTTTTTTATATATAGATGGACACAATACCTTTATTTTATTTATTCATTTTTATGTGGTGCTGAGGATCAAATCCAGTGCCTCACCCGTGCTAGGTGAGTGCTCTACACTGAGCCACAATGCCAGCCCCCAAACATTTTCAAGACACTTACCTTTGCAGATGACAGATTCTCAAACTTTCTTGAATCCCTACCTTATTCTTAGTGACAGTATTTTTTTTTTTTTTTAATATTCCCACCTCCCCACTCCAAGGCAAATTTCGCTACAGTCCCATTTGCTGAGTACTTAGGTCCACCCAATTTAACAGTAGTAGTTCACACAGGGTTCAATGTTGCTGTGTTTCTCAAAATCCTAAAATATCCCTAGGGTTTTCTGTTCCCTGTAGCACCCTGGGGTGACGTGGTACACAGTGTGGGATGCCGAGGACATGGGATGCAGACAGTGGCGCTGAGAGACACTATGTGAAAGGCTCTTCATTTTCCCTTCAGCTCTTTCTTTTCCTGACTCAAACCCATGGAACTCCTCTCACCCGCATTAGGACTTCCAAGGCCAATGTCCAGAAGCCCACTCCTCCCTAGTCATAGCTTCTGTTCCTTCATCCTATCTAGAGTTTGGGGCTCAGGATCATGGATCCAATATTACCTGGGGGCCTGGCTCAGTCAAGTGTTTGGAAAACAAGATACAAAGGTAGAAAAGGGGGGAAAAAGCATGAAACTGGGGTCTTCTGACTTTGGAGGGATTCCAGTCAACTGGAGTTATTGGAAATCTGATCGTTAAATTTGCACTTGTAGCTATACCAGCTAAGTAAGTAAAGAAGACCTGTCATTATGTTTATTAGCAGCAATATCACAGGAAGAAGGCAGATTGTTTTCAAAAAGGTAAGACTGGCAACTTATTACCATATGGATTATTATGATACATGTGAAAACAAATGTTTCTTTAAAATTGTCATATGCTTGCATTGGAAACTAAGTAGTAACATTATTTACCATAGTGTGGTTCTTCTGATGTACTACCATATCTTTTAAAGTTTTTTTTTATATCTTTTTTTTATTTGTTTATTTTTATGTGGCACATGATTGAACCCAAAGCCTCACACGTGTTAGGCGAGAGCTCTACCATTGAGCCACAATCCCAGCCCTGAACTACCATATTTTTTAAAAGATCTAAAATAAGATCCTCTAAATTAACAATGCTTTTCACCCTGAAAATGTCCAAAGCTATGACTCACTAAGTCCATTTTTTTTCCATTTCACCAACTCTCCCAGAAAATAAAGGATCAGCACAGAATAAGCACATCCGCGTGGACTTGGGCCCCCTTCCCTTAGAACTTCTCCTTGGGATCCTGAGCTTTATCTGCAATTGAGCTTCTAAAAGCAGCTGCGGTCTCTGCTATGGGTCACAGAATGCATGGAGAAAAGTCCTTTGTGCTCATGGGCAGAAAGGACATCCTCTCTAGAAATTGTTCTACTTTCCTCAGGAAAGAACATTCTTATATTTTAAAGTCAATAGCCAGGAAAAGGTGATTCAAGATGGTGACACTACAGACACTAGTATGGCAGTATGTATAAATGTGGCTGTATAATCAATGTGATCCTGCAATCTGTACTCCTGGGAATAATAAGAAATCATACCCCATTTGAAACAAATGTAAGATATATGATATGTCAAGATCAATGTAATGTTTTGAGCAACTAATAAATTTCTGATGTTTAAAAAAAAAAAAAGATGGTGACACTGACCTGAGGAGCAGGTGCTGAGTCCTGGGTGCAGGGTGGAAGAGCAGGATGTCATGTTATTTGGAACTCCAAAGACTGTAATGGGGAGAGGGAGAGGTGGGGGAGAGGGAAATTCAACCCAGAGCAGAGGCAGAGACTTGTATACTGTGGCAATACCAGCAGAAATGCCAGGATTGGATTTTTATATTTCGGTATACATTTTTGTTTTTAGGAAAAACTTTAATATTCAGTTCTCTTGCCTTCCAGCAGAGAACCAAACATTAGCCTATGGTGTTTGTTGGGTTCTAGTCAACAGGTGATCAGTCAGTAGTGGACAGTGGATTCAGCCAAAGTCTTTCCTGTTAGTGACCCAATCTTACAGAGAAGGTCTCTGAAACTCAAAGAAGTTAAATGACTGCTCAAGATCCCAGAGTCAATTTGCATGGAGTGATGCAATTCTCCTGCATCCATTTTTTATATCCTTTATCCTTATATATTTTTTCTGATATCTTATACTGTATATTCCTCTCTACTAGGGGCTCAGCAGGAGAAATACCTTCTAGACTGAATTGAACGTAAGTTCCAGTGAGAAACTCTTGAGACACTTGGTTCTAGAAACCTCTCTAGGATGGCAGATACCCGAGGAGTCATTCAGCTCCAGGGTAGAGGTGGGACGATTGCGATTTTTGTGGATGAGAGCAGTGAGCACAGCTGCCACTTACCTGATCCTACTGAGTAGGCATTGGTGTTGAGGAGAGATGAGCTCTGGGTTGTCATGTTGTTGTGGTAGGTCCCCATGGAGGACCCCGCAGGCAAAGTAGAGGACCACATATGGGAAGGAAGGTTGGCATCCAGGATCGTTGTGTCGTAGGTCCCTGACACTGGGAGCAAAAAAACACACTTGCTCCAGTGACAGACAAATAAATATTTCCCTACCGTGGGACTTAGCTGGCTCTGCTTCCTGGGACTTTCCTGGGTTTAGCACTGAGGGTCCCATAGGAGCTCCCTCAGTTCAGAGCAGTCTGGGGCTACTTTTGACTGAAATCTCAAAGTTGATAAAAACTTGGTCTTTTTGATTAGAAATTCTTGCCAGCTCTTAGTGAAATATGAAGATTGATTTTTCCTTGGGGTCTACTCCTTTCTCCTAAACCCTGTTCCTCACCTCCTGGTGGGCTGTCTGCACCAATGATCTGCCTATCGGTCCTTTGCTGGCTCCTTCATCTTCAAAGATGGCAGGGAGCCATTCCCTTAGGAGCAAAAAATAAGACCCTCAAAGCTAATCTCAGTAGACCTCCAGGCACCACGGCAAGGGTGCAGTATGTCTGGCCGGGGAGCCCTCAGGTCTGAGGACACACTGCAAGGTGGTGAACTTCTCTGGTCAAATTCTCCTTATATATTCCTGTGTGCAAACCAGATCTGCAAGTACTGGCCCTGATAAGCCTTTTTCTGTTTCTTTAAATTTGATGCCGGTTCTGCCTCATCATTCTTTGAGAGCGAGCTAGTCAGCCAGGTCATGGAGTACCCGAGGCTTGCTCCTTTAGGAAAAATCTGAGCAAGGTCAGGGTCTCCAGGCTTTTATTGCCCAGGAGTAAATGAGAGGAAAGCTTCCCGTTGGAGCTGACTTGGCTTCTTTCCTCACCTCCCTCCAAAGACCTGCTCATTTGTCTCCCTGTTACCTGTAGAACCTCCCTTGCACTCCTTGGTAAACACTTGGGGACAGCTTGTTTCCTCTTTGACTTCCCCAAGAGACTTTCATCTCCACAAGGACAGTGGCTATGTCTCTCTCATTTCGTGCTTTTCCTCAATGCCTGGCACTTGGCACAGAGGAGGCATATTAATAAATTGTCACTAGAGAATGAATGAAGACACTGCAACTTTCCCCAGTTCTCTTCACTGGGGGAACCTGGTCAACACATTCATTGTGGAAACCTTCTGGGGGACAATCTCTAGGATCTAGAACTGGGCCACTGGGTGACTGTGGGATGGCTGAACAGTCTGGTAAGAAATGTGTGGCCCACAAATTCACACGGCTGGAGGAGCCGGGTTTTTGGAAATGTCAGAAAAGTCTGAGCCAGAGCACAGTGAAATTCTCCAGCCAGAATGAACCTGCTGCCATGTTCCCATCCCTCATGACAGCCTGGGAGCTGTCATGCTTACCTGACTGGGAGCTTGCTGTCACCATTTTGGTTTCCACGGTGCCTTTCTTGGGGATGGGGAGAGTGTTGGAGGAGTTGCGGGTGGGACTGACACTTGCTGATCGGCTCCCCTTGAGCAAACGCTTCACATCATCCAATTCTGTCCCTGGACAAGAATCCCAAAGTCAATCCTTAGGCCCAGGATTCTTTCCTGTGTCCAACTGCAGTGGGAGGAACTTTGAGGACATCTGCTTCACACACTAGGACTTGGGTTAGCTTTATAATTTTTGCATATTCCCAATTTACAGGATTTATCAACCTGGCCATTTGTAATATCAATAATCTCATAAATACAGTGCCTCTCATAAGAGATCAGCATCCTGGGGAGATATTTTCTAATTAGACCTCATGGGACACCTCAGGGTGACTCTGTAGCTGGAGGACATGGTCATCTTGGATCAGGCAGATAGAGAACTTTAGATCAGATCAGATTGTTCTACCCTTAATTAGATCGTTCCTTTGAAACAAACAGTAATTCCCTCCTCTGCTCAAGATACCTCAGATGTCAGGTCCTGACCTTGTATGTCCGGGAGTGTCAAAAGGAATTTGTGGCCCAGAAATCTTAAAACATTGTGCTGCATTTATGTGTGACCTAATTTCAAGTCTGTCTGGATGATGTTTTATGTAGCAAGGTAAACCAATGGAGCCAGCTCCTCAGACCTCCTCCCAAAGTGGAAGACAGGAGAGAAGGGAGACATCACACAAAGGTAGCGCATAGGAGGAGACAATAGGTGCTGGGGCCCAGCCTCCCTCCCTGGCCTGGAAAGTTTCATCCTTTCAGCTCAACACCCCATGCCTGGAAGGATTTGTGACAAAGCATCAGGCCTGGAGTTAGTGCCCCTGACCCCAGCTGCTAAACTCTGCGGGCAACCCCCCTGTCTGTGACCTAAACCATCATCTCAGCTCTTCCTTCTTTTATTCCTTGTATTTGGCTCCTGCCCTAAAAGTTGGGTTCATTTCAAAATGTTGTCAAATACCCTCTAGCAACAGCCACAGGAGTCTAATGACCCAATGCAGAGAGTGGGGAATGTCTGATCTTTGAGATGAAGTTCAAGCCCATATACTTCTGACCCTTCCCTAACCTGAACTTCTCTGCCATTATGTCACCAGACTGAGATGTTCCTTGGATGTCTCATGCTGGCCCCATCCTCTAATCTTAACTCTGATCCACTTTAGTCTCCCTTAAGGGACACTTAACCCAGGAAGTCCTCTCTGGCTGCTGGCACCCGTGCCTGCCCCCTGGGCTGATGTGGAGCAGCTCTTCCCTGCTCCCTGGCCACACTGAGCAGTGATGACTGGCTGGTCTACTATGTCCCCTTTAGTCTGCGAACAACTAAACAGCAGGGACCATAATTTACTTAGCAACTTAACCCCAATACCTGGCCCAGAGCCCAACCCCCAGAAGGCCTTTACAGATGTTTTATGATTGAGGGCATGCTCATGAGCACACACACACACATTCAGCACTAGCCCACACTGTGACATTATGCTAAATTCACATGTAATTGAATTTCAAGGCTTCCTGGATCCTTTGCAGCAAGATAGTGTCACTTACATCTGGTAGATGGGGACGCACTCTGCAGTCGAACTCGAATCTCACTCTCTGTACAAGAGAAGAGACGGAGAGGCTGTGAGGGAAGGAGCCAGGATCATAGGCCCTGAAGCTGAGCTCTGAGCAGTGGGTGCATCTGTGGGCTATTGTGAGATTTCTAAGTCTTGGGATTGGGAAACCTAAGTTTCCCAAAAAGAATGCTGCTAAAAAGGGGACATCCCTCTACTCACTTCACCTGCCAAATGCACACCCCCAGGCACCTGGAGACCTCCTCCAGAGACCGCTGTCTAAGCAAGCAAGCTCTGTTGCACTCAGCACCAACCATGCCCTTCCCCCTCTCCATTTCGCAATGGCCAGACCAAGCTTCCCTCCTTTCTCTGTGGTCTCTCAGGCATTGGTGAGAGAAATCTAAAACCTACGGTGTTAACTGGACAGCAGAAACCATCCCTTATTCTCCTGTTTGCCTCACCCTGCCTGGCTCCAGGCTAGCCCATGTTAGCTGCTCAGAAAAAGCTCCTCGAATAAATGAACTGAAGCCAGGGATAGCACTCACCTCGTGTTTGGCTCCGTCCTCGAGTTGAAGATGATGCTGAGAAACAGAGAAATGTCATCTTAGGCATATGTAAGGAGTGGCATGCAGAATACTTTTGTCATGGAGGTAGTTTCATAGTGTGTCTAATATCCTGCAGGGGCTCTTCCGGATAGTGAATGCTCAATAGGTGAGGACATTTTGTGACGCCCTAGCACATTTAGGGTGTTGAAGTCACTGAATGAGGTCTGGGGATGTAGATTAGTGGGAAAGTGCTTGCCTAACATATATGAGATCCTGGGTTCCATCTCTGGTACCTCTTGCCCCCACCAATACACACACAAAATTAGAGTTAGTTGACACTAACTACCATTAGCTATTAGCTGTTGTTAGCTAAGTCACTCTATCTGGGAGCATGATCCACTTGTACCAATTAAATGTTTTAAGAGGCTGCCATATTGTCCCTTTAAGTTGCTCACTAAAGCTTGCCTTTGTTTCCCCAGTGTAAATAAATAAATAAAATGATAATCACTAAATCATCAATGCTTATATCACTAATTCACTGCACAATAAAATATCATGAACATGAACCAAGACTCAAGGCCAAGTGAATATGTGCAGCCTAGGTTGTCACTAGGCATGTGATGTGGCCCTTTGAACTAGGCTGTCATGGAGGGGCTGGGATGTTGGGCATTGGGCATGGTAACCACTGCTCCTCTCTGCTGGCAGTTTTCTGTGCCTCTAATGGAAGGAAGAATCCCTACAATTACTGCTTGGCCTCAGGGAGTATCTGTCCAACCATGAACCTTGTATAAACACTTTAACAGTGTCAGGAGCAAATGCTTATGACAGCAAGTAATGTGACTAATAGTCCTCTAAAGGTGCTTCAGGATGAAGAACAAGGGAACAACAGGTCAGCAGAGGTCAACTCCTTTAGAAGAAGTCGTTTAGTTCATGATGTCCTCTGCTCCCACCCTGTCTCCTGGGCATTTGCCCTCTTGAACATTTCTTTTGAAAATAAGGAGAGAACATACCAAATTCCTTCCGGGGGTACTCCGGAGAAGAGTTGCCGCTGGAGCTCCCTAAAGAGGGGATGAAAGACTTGGTAAAAGTAGCCACTTGGTCACTTAAGGCTTCCCAGAGAGTGGGTGGTGCCATCCACTCCTTCCTGAACCTTGATAGCCAAGGGTGCTCCAGGGGGGAGTGGGCTGTGCTCTTCAGCAGTCATTTCCCATGATCCACGGAGCAGGCCCATGATTCGGAACACGACCCTCATGGACTTGGTCATAGCACTATACTCTGGTCACTGATCTACTCAGAAGGGGGAGGGTATGAACACAGGAAAGTAGGCCTGCCTTCCCTTCCCTTTCCATTTTTTTTTTTTTGGTCACGTCATCATGGCATGACTTAGTCTGCCCTGGTATCAATGCTAGAGCAAGTGACCTGCCTCTGATTAAGCAAACATTCTTTAGCACCAGAGAACTCTCTGAACTTGTGAAGAAATGCACACCCTGTTACACAAATGCACAGTAAAAGCCCCTGCTCAGGCCCTGGATCAGTAAGCACTGGGCTATGCAAGTCACTGTGTCTGATGAGGGGCTTCCCAACGCCCTCCTGCAGCTCTCATGCTCCATCCAGAGGCACAACTTCTCCCAGTTTGGGGTGTCAGCCCACTTCTATCACTTACTAGGATACCCAGTCCCTTAATCCTGCTTCTCCATCACTGGTACCTCTCTGCTCTCACTATTAAACCCAACTGGCTTGTTGGTTTCCCACTGAAGCTGTTCCTGCAGATGACCAGGACTCCAACGGCCTTATCATGGAGCCCAGGTAGCTTCTTCCACACTCCTCCCTGAGCTGAGCACTGAGCATTTCTTCAGCGCTGCTGCAAATTCTTGGCCTCTCCACTAGAGTCCACAACTCTTCCTCCTCTCTCAGCCTTCTTCCTCCAGCTTTATCTTCCACGGCTCCCTCCTGCTCTGATACTCCCTTCCTTGGCAAACCCTTCGGTCTTCCAGCTTCCACCAACCTCTTTGTGAGAATGCCTCCTGACTGGGTATCTGGCTCTGACTTCTTCCCCGAGCTCAGGTCCCAGGCCCACTGCCTACTTGCTGCCCTCTTTAAGACCAAGTAACTGAATTCACTCAAGGATGGTCCTCCACTGGACTCCCCTGTCTCAGTTGTTGGCACCACCATTAGCCCAACTTGTGCTTGGAACACTAACAACATTGCTGCCTTCTATTCTCCTTATGTTTGATCAACTGCCAAACCTGTCAATTCTACATCTAATACATGTCACCTCCAGCTCTCCTTCCCCCACTGTTACCAACCTAATTGCACATTTCCCTCCACTGGACTATTGTGGCTTTCCTTTTAACCTGTCACCTGTGTTCAGCCCTTTCTTGCCAATTCTTTCTGCAACATTTCTTACAGAATTCTAGTCTTGGACCTCAAATATGATGGACTCAAAAACTCAAATATTTGGCTTAAAAACCTATGTGGAGCCAGGTATGGCGGTGCATACTTGTGATCCCAGGAACTTGGGAGACTGGGGCAGGAGGATTGCAAGTGAGAGGTCAGCCTTAGCAACTTAACAAGACCCTGTCTCAAAATAAAAAGGTTGGGGATGTAACTCAGTGGTAAAGCACCTCTGGGTCAAATCCCTAGTGCTAAATAATAAAAAAAAAAAATAAATAAATAAATAAATAAATACAAACCTCTGTGGTTCCCCATTGTGTGTGAATAGAGTCTAAATATCTTATCCTAGCATTGAATCGGGTGCCCTGTTCTTCTTCTCATAAGTGCCTCTGCCACTTTCTCTGTCAGCCTTGGATGCTCCTGCCTGTCTGTGCTTATGCCGCTGCTCCCTCTGCCTGGGTTGCCCCGCTGTCCATCTCTGGAGGCCAAAATCTTACACATCAGGCCCAAATCAGATGTCACCTCCTCCATAAAGTCTTCCCTGATTTCCTCAGCTGAAGATGATAATTGCCTCCTACTCTGCACCATATAGCTTTTTAGTCTGTCATCTTATCTATCAGAATGTAAACTCCTTGAAGACAAGATCCGTGTCTGGTTCATCTGAACACCCACAAAGGCGCTCCACACGATGCTAAATACATGATCAAGTGCTAGTTGAAAAAGTGACCAGGTGGGCCAAGTAATGGGAGTCTACAAAGGAAACCAAGGAGGAAGGAGTAGGAGAAAGGAGGGGTGGGGTGCAGACACAGGGGAAGCCAGGGGCCCATCCACGCATCTTCAGAGGACAAGCGAGGTGTCACAGGCAGGAGGGAGGTTCTCTCCTGCAGTCTGGGGGCTGATACCTTCGTATGTCCCATGGCGGGTGATGTGAGTTTTCCTCTCGAAGGTGGAGCCTGGTGAGTTGGGCAGAGTGGAGGCAGGCGAATGTGCCCTCCTGTAACTGGAGGTAGAGGCATTGCCCCTGAGGCTTCCACCTGCAATCGGGGGACAAGGGTAGGTCCTCATGGGCCTTCGGCAGAGATGAGCTGACGTTAGCCAGGAGCACTCAGGAGCTCACAACTAAGGGAGGGCCCTGCAGGAGGCACAGGGGACCCCAGCAGACCACAGGTGAGAGAGGGGGCTGCTCAGAAGTGGGAAGGCAGGATCATTGCCGCTGCCTTTCCCTCGTGGGACTAATGACAGTGCACAGAAACGGCCAGGACTAGCACCTGATGTTTAATCGAGGAGCCCTGCACGATGGCTTAGAATGTTCTCCACGGTGGAGCGACCGTCCTCAGGTAGGGCGGGTTCTTTACCTTGGGTTTTCCTTTGTAGTTTCACTATAGGATATCTTCAGTGCTTCAGGGGTTGTGTGCACTCCTTTTTGTTTTATTTTGCCTTGCTCTGCTTTGGTTTGGTTTCCTTTGAAAGAGAGCTTCACAGGGAACAATGGGCCTGTGTTGGATGCTTGCCCAGGGGGACCTTGCACAGTGTGGAATTACATGTCACCGGATTCTCTTAGCTCACTAACCCAATCATGGAGTTTCTCTGGTTGTTGCTGTTGGTAACTCAAATTGTGAACCCTGGATGTGCACACCTTCCCTCAAAGAGGTGGCTTAAAGTGACTGATTAAGAAAACAGCCACCTATCTCCAAAGTCTTCTGAATTAATGATAGTTATTTATATTGGGACTTTATTCAAATGGATCCAGTTTAAGTGGGCTTTGAATGCGGATGATATAAATGTGGCAACTTCCCTGGGTCCTGGGTCATTTGGATAACTCTTTGGGACATTTGGAATGGATGAAAAGTAGCTGTAATTGTCCCTCTCATGGACTGATTCAGAATCCCATCTGCCTGACTCCTTCATTGGTCTTTGTTGGTGGCCCCCTCCCTGTCCCTGTCCCCTGCTCTTCCCCCAGCCCTGGAACCTGCAGGCACTTACTTGAGTTTATGTAGCCACTGCTGCCATGGGTCAGGCTTTGCTTCTCCAGCCGGCTCCCTCCACCCAGAGAGCCTGTTTTGGTGTAGCCATTGCTGGTTCCCCCTTCTGCCGGAACCAAAAACCAGATGAGAGTTTCAGGGTGGAGTCAGGGTGCCAGCATCCCTGCCCTCTGGAAGCCTTCCCTTGCACCTCACCAGCACCCTCCTGGCTGAGTTCTTCTCCCACCTACACTACAAGGTGCAAGCTACCCAGCTCCAGCTTGTTTGGGTACCAAAAGCTGCAGTGCATGTTCCTCAGAATGTGAAAGTAAAGCTTTCTGGATGGAGCACAGCAAGTTTCTCAGTAGGACAAAGCAGCTGAGGGAGGACAGGCTCCTTGAGCCCAGGCCCTGGTTGGGCTTGCTCTTTTCAAATGCCTGGTCGAGGTCCAGACAGAGCGGCTGCCAGAAGTGCTGGAGGGACATATGGCAGCGCTCAGTTCCATCTGGCAGCCCATCTTTGCTCTGGCCTCCCCTGCTGAGGGGCAGCCTCTCCCCATCCCGGCTAGCTTGGGGCCCTATCTCTATTACAGAATCCACTAAACCCAAGGAGCTCCTGGGAAAAAAGAAAAGTCCAATGGAAGTTTGAGAGGTGTCAAGCTACTCAATGCTCAGGTAGATGAGACTTCTGATATTTTATTGTCTATAGCAGGCAACTCTGTAGAGACCAAAAGTTGATTTGTGGTTTCTGGGAGCTAGAAGAGAAGAGGAGGAGAATGGGGAGTGACTGCTAATGGTCATGAGGGTTTTTATTGGAGCGTGATGGAAATGTTCTAAAATTAGACTGTAGCAATGGCTGCACAACTCTGTAAATATACTAACGGCTGGTGAACCACACACTTCAAACTGATTGGTTTTGTGGTCCACATATCAACATTAATATAGCTGTTAAGGGGGGAAAATTCTTAGATATTCGGGATATGTTCATTGAAGAGTGAGCTTCCAGGTTCAAGGTTACCATACGGGGCCTTCACACATGACCTGCTGAGAAGAAAGCTATGAGATAGTTACTTACTTGGTGGTAAGGAGGTAAGTCTTGTAGTTACTGTTTCAGTGATAACTGGAAAAGACAAAGAAAAGAAGAGGTTTTAGGGGATGTACTGACATCTGTGTATTTTGGCAAGGCCTGTTTTCTGTCATGAGCTAAGCGTATTAAATTTGGTTCAACATAGTTTTTGCATATTTGTGGCTTAAAGTGTGTGATCTGATCCATTGTGCGTGAAAACATGAGCAATAGCAATGGATTTCAGGGTGCCTGGAAAATAAGTTCATATCTCTTTGGAACCCAAAGCCGTTATGCACTGATTTGAGAAATGAGTTGTCTAGGTGTCAAGGTCTCTTCATTGACAGTGAGATCCAGTCCAGTCTTGGGTTTGACTTGGAAGAAGGGTCAGGCCCTCTTGTCTCAAGGAACATTGTCTTCCTGCCCTCCCTTCCAAAGTGCCCCAGGCAGGCAGGACCAACACCCTGGATGATGTCACTAGGTGCCTCGTGAAGAAGTTGGAAGCATTTCAAGGACGTGGTCTTTAAGAGCCGACTTCCCTTGTGTGTGCGTGTGCACATGTATGTATGTGGGTGTGCAGGCACACAGGCATCTGGGTAGAGGTGTGAATGGAGAAGAGAGGAAGGAGATGGCACAGGGTCATTCTGTGCCACTGGAGGCTGTGCTGTTGGCACCTGCTCCGTCTCATTTGCCCGTCTATCTTCATGCTGCATTTTCCTGATTAGTTCGGTTGACCTACCAGGACCACGAGTGAATGTAGCAGAAACAGCATTCAAAGCATAAAAGGGAATGGTTTTTCAGAGCAAGTGGCAGTTTGGTTTGAATAATAGTCCTTGAGCTTTCACTAAACCTCTCATTGTACAGACCTTTGGGATTCGTTGACACATCAAAAGAAATTATTTCCTAACCTAAAGTTCCAAGTCTACGGAGCCAGGAGCTTTTTAGTGGAAATAAATGAAAGTCACAGAATAAGTGAAAAGCCTCCCTAATTTAGAGTTGCTAGGGGGGACAGTTTAAATGTCTCTGAATTCATCATTTGGGCAGTTTCACAAAATAAATGTATCTGTTTTCAATCCTTAGTGTAGATTTCAACTGTGACACCAGTGTTATTTCAACTTAGCCCTGAAATAACTGGGATATTATACTTTAAGATTTTTGTTGCCTTATATCCCTAAACAAGGAAATGGTCAAATAAATTAGTGGATTTATTTAACAGAATATTATGCAGTCATTAAAATTACTGGTCATTACAAAAACTATCCATGGAAATGGAAATTTTCTTTTCTTTTTGTAGTGGTGAGGTTTGAATACAGGGCCTCACACAAGCTAAGCAAGTGCTTACCACTGAGCCACATCCCCAGCTCTGGAAATGGCAATTTTCATCTTGGAAGAAAAGCCAGGACCTATTTTGCATACATGTGTTCAAATCAAAACCAATAAGAGCCCTCTTCAGGAAAGGAATTTTATTCCTTTAGGAACATGTTTGTAAGTTCTACAGTGGTTGTGGTAGAATTATAAATGTTATTTTTTCTGTTTCTATTTTTTTTTACTTTTATAGTGAAACAATCATAAATTTAAAAAATTCAGATGCTCTTACTTCTTTCAGTGACTTCAGTGCCATCTCGTTTGTTTTTCTTCGTCACATCCATCCCATAGCCACCTGCTGGAAAAGCCAGAAACCATGAACAGCCATGTCTCTAACCATTGCTTTTAGCAAGTATAGGTTGCTGCTGGTCAAGCGGAGAACTTGATTTTTAGAATTCAAACTGGATTTCTTTCTTGTGCATCTTTTTTTTTTACAAGAATCATTCTGATTTCTTGCCATTAGTTGTAACTGAATTTTATAGTCCCGCTTTGGATTCTATTCCTTTGTACTGGGATCTTATTTTTTGAAATCTAATAGATCAGACTGCTCTCTGCTGAGCATCAAAGAGCTTATATGGTAGTCTTGGTACCCTGATCCTTGTCTGACTATAAACCTCTATTCTCTGCCAAAGTAGTAAATAATTGAAGGATAATTTTCAAGACACTTAGTGTGTTATTAGCAAATTCATGTTGATGTATTCCATAGTGTTTGATGTTCTCTAAGGAGCTTCAGGGATATATCATGCTGTACCATTTAGAGTTTGGATGTGAGCATGGTGCTTGATGGACTTAAATCAGCATGAAAATCATTTTAATTGTTCTATGTGCATAGAATTTCACCCTTTGCAGAGGTGAATTTTCTCTTCATAACACACCAGCTCTCAGAGGCTTATATGCAAAGTAGGAAAAAATAGATGAAGAAAATATGTGTGCAATCTATGGCAATGTGTGGGTAGATAGATACACTTCTGCAGCATTCTGTGCTCTTCCTCCATTCTTTCTGCTTCTGAAAAGGAAAGCATGGGTGATATGAGGTAGGGCTGATGGGGAGGAGTATGGCTGGGAGCTCAAGGCCTAAACACAGGAATGCACAGAAAGGACCTGCATCCCATCTGGGCTCTTCTTGCCATGGTGCCCAGTCTCGAGTTCCAGAAGATTCCCTTACTGGTAGTTCTTTTCCCTGCCCTAATCTTCTTGTCCTGCCCTAATCCATTCTTGTTGTGATTCAGATTGGATTCCAGGGTTGAAATCCTAGATGCCCCTTGCTTGAAGCTCTCTGCTCACCCTCTGTCTGCCTAACCACTTTGGGCACAGTGGACACAGTGCTGAGAGCCACTACGTGTTTGTGGGGGTTGGGAGGGGTAGAATCCACAAAAATGTTTTAAATTTTTTAAAAATCAATTTCTGATTGTACCTGGTTGTAGAATGACTGAAACATGTACAATCAGAAAAATGAGAAATTATACTCCATTTATGTATGATATATCAAAATGCATAAATGTATTCTACTGTCATGTATAAACAATTAGAACAAATAAAAAAATTTCTTAAAATGGGTCGCACCCTAACATTGATTATATTCTTCTCGATGACAATGCAGTTGTAAAATATAATTTTAAAAAATTTTAGCTGTTGGTAGACACAATATATTTATTTTTTTTAATGTGGTGCCGAGGCTCAAATTCAGTACCTCACGTGTGCTAGGCAAGTGCTCTACCACTGAGCTACAACCCCAGCCTGTAAAATATAATTTTTGAAAGTTATTTTTTCACCAGACACAATGCACATGCCTATAATCCCAGTTTCTTGGGAGTCAGAGGCAGGAGGATCACAAGTTTGAATCCAGCCTAGGAAACTAAGTGAGGTCCTGTCTCAAAAGAAAAAGTAAAAAGGACTAGGGATGAAGCTGGTTCAATCCCCAGTAAGAAAAAGAAAAAAAAAAGTTATTTTTTCTTTTATTGTATAAGAGGTCCATGAAAGCTAAAGTGTGTAGGGCCCATGAAAGTCATCATGTATCTCTGGGGGACTTCCCAGTTGAAAACCAAGACTTCATGAAACCAGCTGGTCTACTCTGTGGTGAAATTAACAGAGACTGGCACAGTTAGCTTCAGGGCCTGGTCAGATGTGCCAACTTCTTGCTCATTGGTGTCTTTTAAATGTAGCTCTAGGCAAGGAATGAAGTATCATGGAAAAAATTCTAGCTGAATCTAAGATGCCACAGGATGTCTTTATAGGTATGTTTCCTGGAGCTAAGAGAAAGGGCTCCATAAACAGTTTAATAAAGGTGTCTGGACTCATTAAGGGCCACACCTGGCCTGTGACTATGTTCACACTGTGACTACCACCTATATAACCATTTCATGCAAACCTATGTGCAACTGGATACCCTCTTTTATTTACATCCTTAGTTTAAGCATTAATCACCTTTGGGAACTATGAAGCCTCTCTCTGACTTTTTTTTTTTTTTTCCTCCTCCAATTGGTCATTAGCTGTGGACTAGAAGGCATCTGGGGAGATTGAACATTTACATATATCTGGTTGCCAGTTGGGAGGTGACTAACTCCAAGATGGCATTTAGGTTGATAGGAAATATTACCATGAAAGGAATTATTTATAACAATTAATAGAAAGATTTACTACCCACAAGTTATTGTTTAATTTTGATCCTTCATTGAAATTTACTACTGGGATGGGCTGGCTTTGTTTCCACTTGCAGCCATTAAGGCAGATGCATGAAGCTCTGCGTGGTGAGTGTTTAGCCTCCAGACAGCTAACTTGATAAATTCCGCTTGTTCTTTCCATATCCAGAAAAAAACAAAAAAACAAATAGACAAGCAAAAAAAAAAAAAAAAAGAAAAAAACCTCAGGCATCTATTCTCTAAATTTCATTGACAAAGCCTCAATTTCTATAACAAAAATCCAAGGGTTCCCCAATTTTCAGAAGGCACAAAGAGACAGCCTGCTAAGAAATCAGAAGCCCCTTCAGGGCCTGGGATGCCTCAGTGGAAGGCACCGTGTGGATAGAGCCTGCTGAGGTAGTTTTCAGGTAGGTGCCTATCTTTCAGTCTGAAGTGAAAAATGGCCGTGTGTCCCATGATCATACAGAATTCTCTGCCAGACAATTGGGAGATGGATCCTGTTAAACCAAATGTACAAGGAATATCTCAGAGTTATTTAGTAGAAAGTGATGGGTTGAGGCACAAATCTGGACTAGGATCATCCTATGGGAACTACAGCATTCTGTTTAGAACAGTTGAAGTGCTGGTAATTTTTTAAAGTGCAGCATAAGGAAAAGAAAGTTTTGCCCGGGTTCATGCCTGAGCCTGCCTTTCATGGCAGGCTTCACCTGTGCACCCATCTTCTGAAAGCACCACTTAATGGAAGCTCTGTCAAATAGCATAAGCTTTAAATTCTTGGACGTTTGGATCACTTCACTAGCACTAAGAATGAGGGGATCATTCAAGTTTTCAATTTCAAAATTAGACTCACTTCCATCCATAATTCTTTTGTTAAATTGATTCATTTATTTAATTTCATTTTAATTTGTTTATTTTTATTTATTTTCTGCTGTACCAGAGATTGAGCCCAGGGATGCTTATGTAACCACTAAGTTACATCCCTAGCCCCTTTTTATATTTTAGTTTATTTTGAGACAGAGTCTTGCTACATTGCCAAACCTGGCCTCCAACTTGTGATTCTCCTGCCTCAGCTTCCCAAGTAGCTGGGATTACAGGCATGTGCCATCAGACTCAGGAAAATGAATTTTTAATAGACACATAACAATCATACATATTTATGGTCTCTAGTGTGGTTTTTTGATACATGTGCACACGTAATGATCAAATCAGGGTAATTACCATTTCTGTCTCCTTAAAGGATTTATCATTTTTTAGTGTTCTGAGCCTACAAACTCCTTTTTTTTTTAACCTTCTTATAAAATACATAGCAAGCTATTGTAAATGACAGACACCCACTGTACTGTGGAACAATAGAACGCATTCCTCTTGTCTAACTGTATTTGGGTACATATTATTCAACCTCTCCCACTTCCTCCCATCCTTCCTAGCTTCTTTCAATCACTATTCTTCTCTCTACTTTTTCTTAGATCAACTTACATAGCTTCCGCAAATGAGTGAGAACATGCCCACCTCTGGTTCTAAGGGACTGCTTTGTGATTATTTCATAGCTAATGCTCTTTTGAAAGTGTAAAAATGATCTCGCGATCCCACGTCTGTCTCTCTCTCTCCCTTTTTTAATTTTTTCAATAATGGAGATTGAACCAAGGGGTACTTACGCACTAAGCTACATCCCCAGCCCTTTTATTATTATTATTTTAAATTTTGAGGCAGGATGACACTAAATTGCCCAGGCTGGCTTCCGACTTGCGATCCTCCTGCCTCAGTCTCTCAAGTCTCGGGGTTCACAGGCATGTGATACTGCACCCACCTTCCCATGTCATTTTCTTATGCAGGAATACATAATTTGAAATCAGTTTTCTTCTTTTATGAGTTTTTCCCTTTCCACTTCATTTAAACGATGCTGTATCCACTTAAAACTATTCAGACAATGATGTGGTCTAACACACACACAAGGGCCAACCACTGTTAGCAATAGCAAACCATCACAGTGACCTTATCTTAATCTAAAGACACTTGAAACATTTGTTCCTAATGAAAGCAATGAAAAAGCTATTTTTTTTCTAATTTTTCCTTTTATCTTAGAAACAAAACATTCCTATACTCTGCTAAGGAATCACAAGTATTTTTATAATTTCTATTACTGTGGTCTCCATACACTTTAAATTATAGAACCAAACAGCAAAAGTGCTGAAGTGTGCATCCACTGCCTAGTGACCTGATCACACATATGAGCTAAGCCAGTTGGCTGCCAGGAAAACCAGTGCCCCGAGGTAGACACCTCAGAGGTTTGGTCTCTACCACACCCAGAGAGGAGTTTGCCACTTGCTTGTTCAGGTCACCCTGATTTCCATGCCCTGGGCTGGGCGGGATATGGCACCCACTTTTCACTTATGCTCGTTTACCATTGTGGCCGTTATCATTAATAAGGGCAAATGAACAACACCCTGCAAAGGCAGACTTCTTTTGGTCAGTCCTAATCTAAGAATGTGATTAATTCTTAAGTCTAATCAGTTTCGCCAATTGGAGGAGTTTCTATGCATATTTGAAGCTGGGCTGTTCACTTTAACTGTCCCAGGTAAATTCTGATTAGATTCATGTGTGGGTTTTGCAGGTCCCAAAGGTGAAACAGATCCCAGACACTTCAA